TGAAAGTGTATGGCCTTCACAGTACATTCAGCACTCGTGGTAACATGATGTAGTGTGGAGGTTCACAGGTCTCAGATGTGAGAGCCTGAGACACCTGTCATGAGCACGTGCCCTGGCCGGGGCACGACTTGTTCCACTCTGTGGGAAAACGCCGATTTTTGACGCCGTCTGCGGTCGTCAGGCGTGCAACCAGAAGAAGTCCTGTCCTGCACTCCTTTGCGAAACGTTGCAAATGCTCTCAGAGCACTAGCAACACCAGGATCGTTGGCGAACCACAAAGCGCTTGGCAGATCAATGTGCTCATAAGCAGCCGTCCACTCAGAGTCGCGTGACGGAGCAGGCGACAGCTGCTCGTCCGCAGGGTAGTCGCGGTACAAAGCCGGACGTCTGGGGGAGGGTCTTGGCGACCGAAGAGGGGCCGCATGGCGGACAGTATGCAGGAGCTGTAGCAGGTGGTAAGAGAAGCCCCGAAACCCAGAAGAAGCGCCTCAACCCCGCGTGCTGGACCCTCAAAGCTGCGAGGGCAGCACGGTTTCGGCAGTCTTGCGAGAAGGAAGGGCTGGAAGTTCAGGGCGTGAGCGTCCTAGGGTTCTTGGAATCCTTGAGGAAGACCGGGTCTGAGCTCCTACGGGTCTGGGCAAATGTAGGCGGTTGACCCTAAAAATACAACAATAGCCATAGTAGTAAAAAATATCGCAACAACTAATCACTGGTCATGGCAACAATGACAGTAATAGCACTCATTATACCAGGAACAACAGCAGTAACACGGAACCTCCTAAACCAACGGAGCCGCGGGTGCCCATCTCGAGCCAGGTCTCGATGTAGCCCGCCAAGAACAGCAGCACGCCCGTGGCATTGGCCGGGGCAACGTAGATTGCCTCCCGGGCTCTGGGCTTGAGGGCTTTAGTGTTTTTTTTGAAAGGTTCTAGGGTTTTTTTACAGGTTTTAGGTTTTTTTGTTTTAAGTTTTAGGGTGTTTTAAAAGTTTTTTAGGGTTTAGGGTTTAGGCTTTTGGGTGTTAGTAGGGTTTAGGGCCTTGGGCTTTGGGCTGAGGGTTCGCATCAGGACCTTACTCGCTGGAAAAGGGCTTCGGGGGCAAGCCGTTATGGCCGACAAACATTATAGAAGCCCTGATGCTAGCAATGAGTGTCGAACGAGGACTGGTGTAAACATGACTCCTCTGATGCACTCGTCCTGAACGCTAAATCCTTAACCCTGACGAGCCGCCCCTACCGCGAAAAAGACATCGCGCCTTGTAGGATGCAACAAATCGGGTCAAGTGTATTCAAGTGTGTCCCAAGTGTACTAACAGATCTAACAGATACCGTGAACAAGTGGGCTTCGGCAGGACCCCATAAAAGCCCTCGTCGACCTTCAATTCGAAAACACGAATTTAGCCTCTAGACCTGAGGGTAGCCTAGGAATAAAAAGGGTGCCCTTTTTGGCTTAAAGGGTGAAAAGGGAACCTGAACCTGTAAAAAGGAAATAAGGGCCTACTCTGGGTCCCAGGCCTTCTAAGCCTTCTAGAACCTGAGCCTTAAGCGGTGCCTGCAGGGCATCAGGTGCCGCATCGAAGCCTCAGCAAAGGCACCCCTTTCGCATAGCAGGTTTAGGGGTTAGGGGTTTAGGGTTTAGGGGTTTAGGGGTTTAGGGATTAGGGGTCTAGGGTTTTGAGTTTAGGGGTTTACGGTTCAGGGTAAAGGGGTTTAGGGTTTGGGGTTTAGCGGTTTAGGGTTTAGGGGTTTAGGGGATTAGGGGTTTAGGGTTTAGGGTTTAGAGGTTTAGGGGTTTAGGGTTTACGGGTTTACGGGTTTAGGGGTTTAGGGGTTTAGGGGTTTCGGGTTTAGGGTCCTTAGCGCCACCAGTCTAGTCGCCCCTTAAGCAACCCTTGTGGTAATTAACCTGATAGTAACCCTTCTAGTACGCTTTATCCCAGCAGTGTGGGTCGAGGCTGAAGAAGCGACGGAAGGAAGCTGTAAACCCTAGAGCCCTGAACCCCAAAGGAAAGAAACCCAATACCGTAAACTCCAACGCCCTGAGCCCAAAACTCTTCATTTAACCCTTAAGCGGGCAGGAGCGGTCGTGCTTCTGGTGCCACCGCGGTGCACATCTTACATGTTTACAACTTTTAAAGGAGCCCAAACGAAGCATCATCGCCCGGCATCTGCACATGCATGTCTCTTAGATGTTTTAAAGAGTCCACTTCTTTGCGGAAACCGCCACATGCTAAGCAAGTGGAAACTACCTGCCAACATCTTTGAGCTACACCGTCATACTCGCCACAGTAGAGCCCTCTAATACAAGGGGCTAGGAGAAGAAGGTTGGGCAAATGATTGTATAAGTATACTTGTATGGAGGAACCATAAGGAAAGTATAAGCATGTATTCTGGCCCTATTATTAGATTTGGACATGTTTTCTCGTCTCTTCTCCCACGGAAGACGAATCTGCATGGCACTCCAAGCGAGTGCTGTTTCAAACAGAGAGCTTGGTTTGCAAAGCCTCAACCCAAAGCCCTAAACCCCACAAGCCCCAGGCACTGAAGCCGAACGCCCAAAAGAGCATCATGAAACTGCAAACCATAACCCTTAAACCCTGAACCTTGATCCTAAACTCCATAAACTCGAACCCCTGAACCCTAAACCCTAAACCCTAGACCCTAAACCCTAAACCCTAAACCCTAACCGCCCTAACCACACGTCTTTGCGGCGCAGGAGCCAGGAAGCTGCCAGTACTGCTCGGCAACGAAGCCGATGGTCGCCAGCATGCACACGCCTGGGCGCCCAACCCTAAACCCTAAACCCTAAACCCTGAACCCTAAACCCTAACCCTAAACCCTAAACCCTAAACCCTAAACCCATATTAATTAATTCAAGACTATGCCGAAAATCGTATTAAGGGTCCTGTTATAGGGTATAGACCCAGAGCTTCCAACATCCCTAAACTCAGGAACATGCCTTCGATCATATTAGGGCTGTTGGGGATCCTGTCACTGTTTAAGGAATACTCCTGTAGTGAGGGATATTGGAAGATCCTGGACCTTTGGGGGCAGAGGTGGCCTAGTGGGGTTGGGTTCGTGCAACCCGACGTGGGAGTTTCCGAGAATAGGGGACCCCAATATAGCACCCTAAATTATAGGATCCTGAATATAAGGACCCCAAAGTAAGGTACCCCAGCTTGACAGCATCCATGGCCACCGTCGATAAAGCCCTTGGTTCTGATTGCGATCTGCTGTGCCAAAAGGACGCTTCTCTTGAACTGCTCTTGCCCGACATGGGACATGAAATGAGCACGCGCCCTCGCTTTAAGACCGCAGTCAACGCGAAGCCGAGATCTGGCTCTCGGCCAAGAAAGCACGCTGCAGGGAATTGGCCAGGATGACCATATCCAAGATGTGCATCTTGTCGACACTGCCTGTATCATCATATGACAACTCCAAACCTGAACCCTAAACCGGCACCCGTGTGTCAACATCTCGGCAGGCCACCAGTCTGATGTGCATTGCCCCTATTGCCGCCCTGTGCCGTCCACTTTCCCCTTCACTTGCTCCGCGTTCAGCTGCATGTGCTCACCCTAAACCCTAAACGCGCTGAGATCGAAACTATGCGGAGTTCTACCAGCCCTGAGACTAAGATGTCTCTGCGCGTTCGGGCTTTGAAGTCTTCAACCCCAGATTACCTAACCTCCTTATATAAGGAACTCAAGGGTTTATGGTTTAGGGCAAAGGGTGTAGGGTTTAAGGTCCTCCTGAAACCCTGACAAAAGACGCACCATTGAAAGACTCGCGTAAGGACACCAGAATCAGGAACCCTAAACAGGCAGGCTCTGCAGGGGTCAGGTAGGCATGGCAGACCCAAAATAATACAAAATGGTAAGATCCTTTCCCTTGTAAAGGCCCTCAGCAGCACGATTCTAGTTCGTACTGAGGACCACGCAATAATGTAGGGGCACTATATACATTTACAACAAGGAAGCCCCCAAATAGTATTGGTCTCTCCAAGAAGGCGGCTCTGTGTGATGAAGACCGGGAGCTTGAGTGTCCAGTAGGGTTGACGGTTTAGGGTTGAGGGTTCAGGGTTGAGGGGTTTAGGGTTGAGAGATTAAGGACGGGGTTGCAGCAACTGAAGGAACCCAATCTTTATTGCAGGTTCAATGGGTATAGTATCCGTTTATCGCAGGAGTCCTCCCGCGGCCAAGGTGCGTCCGTGCTTGAGCTCGGACTCGCGCAGCCACTTGATCTCGGTGAAGGCTTTCGGGCTCTAGGGCTCTCTAAGGCTTTAAGGCTTTAGGGCTTTATGGTTTTTGGGCTTTTTGGGTTTAGAGTTTAGGATTAGGGTTTAGGGCTCCAGGGCCTTACGGTTGTAGGGCTGAGTGTCAGCATTGGGGTGGCCAGGGACGAAGAGAACCCCCAGGCCATTTGTGCAAGGCTTCCCTGAAGGGTTCTTGAACCATGAACTGCGGGCTTAGGGTTTAGGGTTTAGGGGATAATGCACCATGTTTCGGGAGGTTCATGTACCCAGCGAAGATCTAAAGTTTGAAGCTTCTGCTGCGCCTCAGGATTCAGATGTCGGGTTGGGGGTTCGTATGTATCAAGCCTGCCCTGGGGTCCTTGGGATCTTTCGTCTCATGTGAGACGCAAAGTTGCCCTAACAAACCCTTCCCCAATCATCACGTGTGCCTTCACAGAGAGAAACGGGGGAAGAAATTCTTTAGTAGATGCAGCGTCCTCGTCGTCATAGTCGTTGTGGCAGTAGCACTAGTAGCAGTAGCAGTAGCAGTAGCAGTAGCAGTTGCAGTTGCAGTTGCAGTTGCAGTGCAGTTGCAGTGCAGTAGCAGCCGTGGTAAGTAGTCGTGGTGGCAGTGACAGTGGCAATGGTGTGACAATGGCAGTGGTCGCGGTCGTGGTTACAGTTGCAGTGGTGGTCGTGGTCGCAGTGGAGGGCTGGTATCAATGGTAGCCGCAGTAGCAGTGGGTAGCGGCAGCAGGAGCAGGAGGAGGATCAGGCAACAGCTTGCAACAACGCTGCGTCGATCAGATCGGAGAAGCCAAGAGGGTCGAACTCAGCCTGTCCATGCAACCCTTCTCTGAGTAGCTTCGGGGCCGTAACAGTTACAACAGGTTCCGGGCGTATATAACACCCAGAAATAAGAAGGACCCTAGGGGAAACACGAATACAAAGTGTTCCTTCTCTATAGTACAAGAAGCATGAAACCAAGTGTGCTTCATATGCAGGTCCGAGAGCATATGGCTTGGGATCCTGGCATGTTTGGCGTGAAGGAATACTTACATCAGGCATAGATACGGATACATATGCGAGAGAGAGAGAGAGAGAAAAAAAAAAAAAAGATGCCTGCCGCAGCCGTTCTCATGGCTCAAAGAAGGAGAGGGAGAGGGGGACAGAGAGAGGAAGAAACGCAGAGGGAGACAAGGATAGAAGAGAGCGAGAGAGAGAGAGAGAGAGAGAGACAGAAAGACAGAGAGGGAGAGAAGAGGAAGAGTTCGCCTGACAAGTGGAACGCAGTTGGAAATAACCAGGTCTTTGCCTCGGTTCCTGAGTAGCCCTGTGTAACAATGGTGTCCTTGTTCCTACTATTCTATTCGGTTTTCATAAGGGGACCCTGAAACAAAAAGAGCAAAAGGGTACTACCCAGGGTTCTAGCTGCCATGAACCTTCACTTCCTTCAACCTTCACTTCCTTCAACTCCTGCCCACGACGTGCTTTACCAAAAAGCTTCCATAGTGAACCCAAGAAAGTTGGAACATGGATTTAGGATGATTCTGGCCTCAGTGGCTGAGTACCCTAGCTCAACAAAGGGCTAACCTTTTCAGTTATGGTAGGGTTATATAAACCCAAAAAGGTTACAGGTTACCTACTCGGCTACTAAGGTGCTGGGATCCCCTCTACTTTACTTTATATTAAGGGCATGAGATATATGATGATCTTTTGACTTTCAATTTCGAGCTTCTACTATACCCCGACATGGACACACAAACTGCAAAGGTGGAGTCCATCTTGGTTGGCTTCCGAGGCCGCGCAAAATCCTAGGGCCCGCAGCCCGCTGACCAGTCCAAGCCCACCCCCACCCTCGGTTTAGCGTTTAGGGTTTAGGACCACGAATAAAACCCACAATGAACCACGAAGCAGACCACAACCACACAGATATACACCTTTGATGAAAAAGAATTTGGTATGAACAAAAATAAAAAGCCTGAAATCCCAAGAGCCCAAGAGCTCTAAACCAAGATGCTAGACCCGACACCCTGAACCCTAAACCTTAAACACCCTAAACCCACCAACCGTCAACCAAAAAAACCCTAAAACCCTGAACCCTCAACCTTAAACCCCTTAAACCCTCAACCCTAAACCCTAAACCCTAAACCCTGAACCCTAAGCCTTCAACACCCTAGGCGCACTCGTCGGGGGGGCCTCACCGCCGACCAGCCCGCCAAGATTCTGGGGCTTTGGCCTCAGGAAGGTGCGGGTTTCGGGCAGTTTAGGGATTAGGGATTTAGGGGTTTAGGGATTTAGGGGTTTAGGGGTTTAGAACCTTAGGGGTTTCGGGTCTAGCTTATGTTTAGAGGTAGAGGTTTAAGGGTTTAGGGTTTAGGGGATTAGGGGTCCAGGGGTTTAAGGGTTTAGGGATTAGGGGGTTTAGGGGTTTCGGGTCTGGGGGTCAGGGTTGGGTGGTTGGGATTTTAGGGCGTATGAGGTTTTGGGAGCTTGCTAGGGCTTCTATCTGGTTGCCAGAAGGACGCTAGAAGGGCTGTATAGGCCGTTCTGTTCAGGGCGATAGTCATTCATGATTTGGGGGCTTCGGTGGTTTTTACGGTTTAGGGTTTAGGGTTAGGTTTATGGTTGAAGTTGATGGCTCGAGGTGTCGGTTTTTGGAGTTGTGGGCTGGGGGTTTCAACTCTGTGCTTGGGAATCTGCGCACGGGAGTTTCCGAAAATAGGGTACACCAATGTAGTACCCTACAGAGTAGGATCCTTATTATAAGGACCCCGAGATAAGGTATCCCTCATTTTCGGAAACTCCCACACATTGCTTTCCCATGCGCAAAACCCCATGACACCCTGTAGAACAGCGATCCACAGGGACATGCCTGGATTGAAACACGCGCCCGACGGATCCGGTTTGCGGTCTACCAGGGCCGAAACTCTAGGTGCCCCATGCAGGTTTTGTGTGGTTGGGGGGCGTGCTTTATGCTTCTGGTTTTACGTCTTGGGCTTTAGTTTAAGCTTTCAAGTTGGCTCTGGGTTGGGAGTCTTTTGCGGCTTCGGGTGCAAGCAAGAAGATAAGAGAAGATAAGAGAACAACATGTGATATGGGAGTTTCCGACAAGAGGGGACCCTAATATAGTACCCTAAAGAGTAGGATCCTCATGATGAGGACCCCCAAAATGAGGTACCCCTCATTTTCAGGAACCCCCATATAGTATAATTTTTATTTCCCCGTGTCTTTGGGGGGCTCGGGAGTTTGGGATTTCTTGGTGTTTACACAGTGGAACTCTAGAGTTTGGCTTTGGGCTTTGGGTGTAACAGTAAGAAACCAGAAGAAGCAAGTATAAACAACCCGTTAAACCCTCACAGTAAAGGGAAACTTTGGGGAGCCAACCCCCTTATAATGAAGCCCAATAAGGTAGAATGTTTATCTTATGTCCTTTTTAAAACAGCTCTCTGGTTTAGGGTTTAGGTGTAACAATAAGAACCCAGAAGAAGAAAGTATAAACAACCCGTTATATAAACCCTCAAAGCACAGGGAAACGGCTCTCTGGTTTCATTTCTGGCGCCCAGGCAAGAAGGGCAGACTCTTGCTGGAGGAGACCCGGCAGACCTGGCACGTCAAGGACGCAGGCAAACTAAGAGAGCGGCAGAAAGAGACAGAGAGAGAGAGAGGCATAGAGAGAGAGAGAGAAAGAGACATAGAAAGAGAGAGAGAGAGAGAGAAAGTGAGAAAGAGCAAGAAAGAACCAAACAAAGAAAACAAAGACAGACAGACACAAAGAAAGGCAGACACAAAGAAAGGCAGACAGAAAGAGAGAGAGAGAGAGAGAGACCAACCAACAAAAAAGGCATCAAAAAAGGCATATAAGGGTGCTGATGTAAGGTTTTATGCAGTTTGTATTAGCTAGCAAAAGAGCTTAACAAGGCTTTTCCAAGAGTTCCCAAAATCTACGCCAGTGATGTGAGCAAATTTGGCTGCGCCGAGCAAAAAGTTGCCGAGAGTGGGTGCGAGCAGGCTTCCGGCGATGTTGAGACCGCTCTCCAAGCCGGGATGTTGGAGTATTCAATTATACTACATTATACTACATTACACACATATTTATATCTCTCTCTCTCTCTCTCTCTCTCTCTCTCTTAAGTTGCATTATATTATATCATCATATTCTAGTAAAGTATACTATATAGTATATGTACCTTATGATATGTTAAGCTGGCTTCACGGTCTGCAGATTGATAGAATCGAAAGGTCGAAGAAAAGAGTGTAACGGTGTCATGGCAAAGCGAGCACGAACAACGCCCGGGCCCTGCAAAGTACTTGATACAAAACTAACTAATCATAGTGATATGAAGAACAGTCACGATAATGATGAATGGTGATGATATCGACTGAGATCCCACGAAACATCAAATAGGGGGTAGTGCAGTCCCCTGCATCCTCTTTGAACACGAATCCGACAGCCCTACGAGCCGAAACCACGCAACTCCCAGAGCCGCTTCTAGGGTTTAGAGTTGGGTACGGCCCTCACTCAGCAATAGTTGAATAATGTTCATAATATAGATATATTCGGACCTTAATAGTAGCCCTAGTATAGACTCTTACTGCATGGGGGCAGTACCTAAGGTTTAGGGTTCAGGTTGAACTCCCAAAGCCCTCAAAAACACTTGAAAACCCTGATAGCACGCTCGTCTGCTACCAGAACCTTGTAGACATCCTGGAGTTTTTCGGGGTGGTTTCTAGGATAGGGTTTAGCGTTTAGGGCAGTTTAGGGGATAGCAACCGTAGCAAGAATAGAAACCACAACAACAAGAACTGCAACAAGCATAAGAAGAGGGAACCCTAAGGATTAGTTGGTATCACTCATTTCTCAGGCTACCATATGGGTGGTTGTCAAAACTAGGTGAACTGTTTGGGTACCCTAAATAATAGGCGCCGTATTATAATAAGGACCCAAAAAGGGACCCTAATTTTGAAAACCACCCATATAAGGAGCCCTCATAAAGGCCCAAGGTTCCTACATTATTGTAGCACCCTTATTATGGATCCCTTTATAGTACCCCTTATAGTACCCTTTAAAGGAACCCTTAAACCCTAATAAAGGCCCAAGGTCTGCAATCTCAAGACAAGTCGACTCCACCGTGCGCGGTCCCTGTCGGCTGGCTGCGGCGGAGCCGCAGAAAGCCGAGCCCTGCGTGTTGGACGGGAGGCTTCGGCCAAAATCGACGTTTTTGATCGCTGTTAACTCTGAGAAGTAGGTTTACATAAATCTTAGAGGATGAGGTCAGGATTATCGGGGCTCGGTGTATAGGATAAATACGTGGAGGGGCTTAGTGGTCTAGGCTTGGCTTTTGGAACCGTGGCGGTGTTGAATCATCACTGCAGCCCCAGGAGAGCAATTCAGTGTCAAAAAGTCTGGTTCACAAGAAGAGCCCTTAAAGGTGCTAAACGGTGGGCCCTGAGCACCTGAGTAGAGATGCAAGCCGAAAGCGTTTACAGCCTCCCCGAAACTTAGGCCGATTCCGCACGTGAACCAGAACTAACGGGATAAACGGAAAGCCTTAAGGTGTCCAAAAGGGGTCCCGAAATCCGTGTAAAACCATGAGCAGCAAGTTTCTCAGGGATGTAGGGTTCAGTATAGGGGCTGGAGGCACGTGCCTGGTCATCCTTGGCCACCGCCGACAGGACAACATCGAAGAAGGGCCACTTCTCCTGCATGGCTTGGGACCGATGATGATACTCTGGACTTTGAAGTGACTTTTATTTCATAATGGCTCCTTTAAGGAACAGGTACCAAAAAAGTATTCAAGTATGTTACTCCAAAGCCCAGTTCTGTTGGTGATACAAACTCTGCATTACCTTAATGACCCTAGACTATGGGAACTAGGGTATATTCCTTACTATGCGTAATGCATTACCTGACTGACCCTAGACAATGGGAACTATGGTATATTCCTTACGACTATGCGTAATGCATTACCTGAATGACCCTTGACTATGGTTATTATGGTAAATTCCTTACTATGGGTAATGCAGGACCTATATTATATCATCAATCGCATCCTGCCCTGTACTCCAGAAAGCTCCTACTCAACCCCCCACTCACAGCCCCCGGAAGGCACCGAAGTTACAAAACCCGGAAGCCGTAGAACTGGTTTAGGGTTTAGAGTTTAGAGAAAAGCCGTAGAACTGGCTTAGGGTTTAGGGTTTAGAGGTTTAGGGTTTGGGGTAACTTTCATCACCTCAGAACCTGCGAAGACCTCTGTGTTCGCAGGCCTTACCGCTGGTTAGTAGGGAATGGAAGAATGGTAGTAATAGTAGTTATAATTGCACCCCATTCCTCCATTCCCTACTAACCAACGGTAAGAGGCTCCTGGGTCAGGACAGCGGATGTGACAATGCCTGCCGCTCCCGGAGAGAGGCCGGGGCTTGAGCTTCGATTCATTCTGAAACTCAGAAGCTTCTACCATATTTTAAGATAACATAGTGTAAGATAAGGGTTCCTTTAAAGGGAACTATAGGGGTAGCTTTAAGGGGCTCCTTTAAGGGATCTATAGGGGGTTTAGGGTTTAGGGCTGATGATATAAATCCTGCATTACCTTAGGGACCTTAAACTATGGGAATTATGGTACATTCCTTATTAAGGGTAGTGCAGGATTTATATCATCAACCGTAGTGTAAGATAAGGTAGTGTAGTATAGTAGAGTATAGTATAACATAGTACCGTCTAGAGTCTAGTCTAGTATAGTACAGCATACGTTGCATGTATGTTCTAGTATAGCTTAACACGGGTGAGGGAAAAGTCGCGGAACCAAAGTCGGAAACCAGGAGGCACGAGTCGGGAAACAAAGCGGCAGGAGTCGGGAACAAGGGGCGCAGCAGTCGGGAAGGTAAAGAGGCAGGAGTCGGGAAACATGCGGGGAAAAAAGGAATACTACTAATACTACAAATACTACTAATACTACTAATAGTACTAACACTACAAATGCTAACTATAACTAATACCAATACCAATACGGATACTAATACTAATGTTATCACGACTACAAACACAAACACTGATTCTAATATTAGTACTCATACTCATCTCATACGCATACTAAAGTTACTAATACTAGTACTAGAACTAATACGAATACAATACGAATACACATACAGATATCGATACCAATACCTAGTACTACTAATACTACTAATACTACTACTACTACTACTACTACTACTACTACTACTACTACTACTACTACTACTACTACTACTACTACTAATACTAGTAATACTACGAATACTACTCATACTACTCATACTACTAATACTACTAATACTACTAATACTACTAATACTACTAATACTACTGAATACTACTGACACTACTAATACTACTGATGCAATTGATACTAATTACTAATACAACTAATGCTACTAACATTAGTAATACCACCAATACTACTAATACTACGAATACTACTAATACTACCAATACTACTAATACTACGAATACTACTAATAGCTATGCGCGCCTCCAGGCGCCTGGTGTTAACCTATGTTTTTCTGCGTTTTTGGGCCTTTTGCTAGGGTGCCGGGGGGGATGGGGTGGGGGAGAGGGGGTGAATAACGACATGGTTGACCGCAAGCAGTAACGCAGTAGCGCCTGTAGCAGTAGCAGTAGTAGGATGCTTGTGACAACGTGTCTTGCTCCACATCCTTGTGCAGCATGTGGTACAAAGAGCAAAAAATGCTGTAAATACCGGTGTTTTGGGCATGATCGCCAAAGGCAGTGACATGAACATTGACCTGACCATCTTCATCACCATCTTCATAGCCATCATTTTCGCAATCTTCAACATCATCGTTAACTTCATCATCTTCATCATCATCCTCATAATCATCATCCTTATCACCATCCTCATAATTCTCAAAATCATCAAAATAAGCCCACGCAATTAGTTGGATCGAAGTTGGCTTAAATACAATTTCTAAAAACTACTAAAACCCATCATTTTTGACAATCGGACACTCAAAACTACCAGGGGCCAGGAGGCGCGGAACCCTACTAATACTACTAATACTACTAATACTACTCATACTACTCATACTACTAATACTACTAATACTACTAGTACTACTAATACTACGAAAACTACTAATGCCACAAGTACTACTAAATCTATTGATACTGAAAAGACTAAAAATGCTACAACTACTACTACTACTACTACTACTGCTGCTGCTGCTACTACTACTACTACTACTACTACTAACACTGCAAATACTACTCACACTACCCATACCACTCATACTTCTCATACTACGTACACTGCTATACTACTCATCTACTCATAATACTACAAATACTACAAATACTACTAATACTACTAATACTACTAATAGTACTAATACTACTAATACTATTAATACTATTAATACTAGTAATACTGGTAATACTAGTAATATTAGTAATACTACTAATACTACTAATACTACTAATACTACTACTACTACTACTACTACTACTACTACTACTACTACTACTACTACTACTACTACTACTAGTAATACTACGAATACTACTTATACTACTCATACTACTAATACTACTAATACTACTAATACTACTTATACTACTAATACTACTGACACTACAAATGCTAATGCTAACTATAACTAATACCAATACCAATACGGATACTAATACTAATATTATCACGACTACAAACACAAACACTGATTCTAATATTAATACTCATACTCATACGCATACTAAAGCTACTAATACTAGTACTAGAACTAATACGAATTCAATTCGAATACACATACAAATACCGATACCACTACACAGACCGCAAGATGCAGATGTTGCATTGACACGATAATGCTATAAACCTCGAACCCTATAAGACCCATGGTACCCGACATGCTTGATTCCTGACTTTCGCCCCGGTTGTTTCCCGACTCTTGCCTCCTTGTTTCCTGACTGTTGCCTTCTTGTTTCCCGACCCATGGTTCCCGACAATCGCGCATGGTTCCTGAATTAGTCTACTCCCTAGCTTAAGCTCCGAAACGCTGTGGCCCCAAGTGTGCCATCCACTGGTCTGCTGCGAACTTGACGGCTTCGAGGTTTTTGGATGGTTCCGTGCCCTAAACCCTAAACCCAAAAAACTCCAAAGACTTAAACCTGAAAGGGGGTTGAGCTCTTTAGGGGTGAGAGCTTTGTGCTTAGGGTGGCCCGAGTTGACGAAGCTCATGATGATTGCTTTGGGTTTACGATTTAGGGCTTTTGGTTTAGGCTTCAGGTTGTAATTCCTGGCCTTGCAAGGCCGTCACAACTCCTGCAGAAAAGCTTCTGCAGGCTTAAATGCTAAACACAAATCTTTTGCTACCCTATGCCGGGCCTTAGAAAGACTCATTGCAAGCTTGCCGATACCCGCGAGAACCTTATGCATATTCCATAATTAAGGGATTTTGGGGTTTCTGGGAACTCTACCTAAACCCTAAACCCTAAGCCCTAAACCCCTAAACCCCAAGGTGCCTGAGTAGGCCAGCATCGCAAGTCGTCCGTTGCGCAGCTCCTTCACCTCGTGGCATGTCGGGAGGTCGGCTGTAAACCCTGGGTCGAGCCTCCAAAACCCCTTTAAATAAGGAATGTACCTTAAATTATAATAGGATCCCTTATATGATTTAAGGTATATTCCTTACTTAAGGGGTTTTGGAGGCTCTGGGGATATTTGGCTAAGGCTTCGGGCCTATGTTGTCTGGGGGTTTGGTGTTCAGGAGTTTGGGGTTTAGGTTTTAATGCATTCATGAGCAGTTTCTTGCCTGTCCTACCTCAGGAAAGTCCACATTTCTTTAAGTGCACGGAATGGAACCCTTAAAGGGTACTAGCGGGTTCTATACTGGGGTTCCCCTTCAAGGGTACCAGCGAGTTCTGCAATCAGGTTTCCCCTCAAAACGGTTGAAGGTATATGGGAGTTTCCCAAAATAAGGGACCTTAATATAGTACCCGAAATTGAAGGATCCTCACTATAAGGATTTTCAAAAGAAGGTACCCCTAATTTTCGGAAACTCCCAAACCCTAAACTCCCTAGATCCCTTATAGGACCCCTTTAAAAGGAACCCTTCTAGATCCCTTTAAAGGAGCCCCTAATTTTCGGAAACTCCCATATTCCTTCCTCAAGGAACCTGGAAGTCTCTCGGCCCTCCGGCAAAAGCTGCTCCCAGACCTTCCCTGCATCACCAGTGTGTGCGGTTTAGGGCTTAAGGCTTACATAAGGTTTTAGGTTTTAGGGTGCTAGGGTTTGGGGATTTAAGATTTTCGGGTTTGGGGTTTAGAGCTTAGGGACATGAAAGCTTGTTTTGCAGGGGCTTGCATCCTAAGCCCCAACCGAAGCAAAAATTCCGAAATCCTGCAGCTTACCCCCGACACACCCGAAAACCCCCTCCATTTTAATCTTCTAAATCCTCAAAAATCTTCCCACCCGCCCCCGCCCCCCGCCCAGCCATCGCAAGCCCCCAGCCTTGCAAAACCCTTATAAAGCTTCGATCCTTACAGAAAGCACGTATGACAGCCCGCCTGCATCTCACCCATTAAAGAATCCTTATATAGAGCCTTTCTTGGAGTATTATAGGCGTGGAGGGTTTAGGGTTTAGGGTTGATTGAGCCTTTATAGGAACAGTATAGATAGACCCCTAACCCTCCTCCGAAGGAAGCCCAAGAACCCTTGTAGAGCCTTATACGGCCTCTGTAGGAATATTATAGAGCCTTTACCCTCCGAAGACCCTCCTAAAACTTACTCCCCCAATAAACCACGGAAAGAAAGGGTTTAACTTTCCGATTCCTCCTGAACGATGTAAGAACCCAAAAAGCTTAAAAGGCTGGGTAATTAACCCTAAACCCTAAACCCTACGGTTGATGGTATAAACCCTGCATTACCTTAAGGACCCTAAACTATGGGAATTATGGCATATTCCTTATTATGGGTAATGCAGGATTTATATCATCAACCGTAGTATAAGAACCAAAGCATGGAGAACCCTAACCCCTAATCCTCAACCCATAAACCCTATTAAACCCTACTAAACCCCGAACCCCAGGCAAAGGAAGCCCGCCACCTGCATCTCGTACTGGCCCTTGGGGTCGCTGGGGTAGAAGCCGCGGAGGCCGAAGTCCCCGGGCTTGCGGTCCTTGGGCTTGAAGGGTGCGCCTTCTTGGGGGCTTAGGGCCTAGGGGTTCTATAAAGGTTCTATAGGAATCTATCCTTTAAGGGCTTAGGGTTTAGGGCTTAGGGGCTTCTTTGGGGGTTTCGGGTTCAGAGTTTGAGGTTTTGGAGGTTCAGGGTGTGTAGGGGGTTTAAAGGTCTAGGGTCTCTAGCGGTCCTGGGCTTTCGGGTATGCCTTAGGGGGCGCAGGGCCTTAGGGGGTTCTCTAAAACGTACTATAGGAATCTATAAGGGTTTAGGGTTTAGGGGTTTTGGGTTCTCCATAAAGGAACTAGAGGAATCTACAAGGGTTTAGGGTTTAGGATGGCTTAGGGGCTTTGAGTAGAGTTTGGGCCCTTTGTTTGGGATCAGGGCTTTGAAGGGTTGTAGGGTTTAGAGTACCTCTTAGGGGCTTTTTCTGGGGTGGTTGAGGGATCCGGAATTGAAGGAATTTTCGGCTTCCAGGACATGACGGATCCCAACTGTAATCCTAAATCGACGGACCCTGATGGTAAAGACCTCTTGACGCTGTCCTGCTTCGGATCGCAAAGTGCAAGAATCCCGACATCCCACAGATCCCTGAAAGCCCGTGATTTGGGAATATGCCTTCGATCGTAGTTAGACTCAGGATCCCTTCAAACTTCAAACCTTCAATGCATGTTGCTTAATTCGCGCAGTAGGAGTTTATTGGACTCTTCAGGGTAAATTACCCTAAGGCTCCGTAGTAGTTCCTTTTTGGTGGTTCATATTTAGGACCAGAAGGGGAAATCTCAAAAAGGAACTACTACGGGGCCTCTAAGTAGATTGATTGCATCATGGACCGGGGCTTCAGGACGTAGAGCAGACGGGCTGCGGTCTTTCCCTCGCGCATGTTCACATAGGCGAACAGGCCCAGCACCTTGCGAGGGCATGCAGACCGGACAAAGCCCTAACGGAACCTGATGGAGAAACCCTGGGCCTAGAACCCGTAAAATAGTAGGGCTCATACAAGGAACCCTATTAAAGGCCGAAAGGTTTGTTTATCAGGCTCCTACACCAAGGCCCCCCGAAACCCTTTAGTACCCTTAGAGTACCCTTTAAAGGAACCCTGATAGAAGCCCCCAAAACCCCGAAAACCCCAAGCCCTGTAGTAGAAGCCAGAAAGTTGGAACATCATTCTCCTCATGCCCTTAAGGTAAGGTATAAGGGATCCTAGCACTAATGCTCCTAAAGCCATGTTCCAACTTTCTGGCTTCTACTATAAACCCTAAGCCCCCAAAACCCTAAGAACCCTTATACTACCCTTTAAAGGAACCCTGATACAAGCCCCCCAAAACCCCCCCAAAACCCCAAAACCCCTAAACCCTAAGCCCCCAACTAAACCCTAAACCCTAAACCCGAAACCCCTAAACCCTAAACCCTGAACCCCAAGCCCTAAACCCTAAGCCCCCAAAACCCTAAGAACCCTAAGCCGGCCTCCAGGAGACCGCACCAGATGAGGATCCTTGGAGTTTTGCGGCTGCAGGGTCTTCTACTATACTTTGAGGTTCATGGGTAGTTATAAGGGTTCCTCTTAAGGGTCCCTTTAAAGGGATTCTATATGGACTCTATGAGGGTATAGGGTTTTGGGTCTACTTCGAGGTTCATGGGTAGTTATAAGTGGGGTTATAATTAGGGTAACTATGGTTATAACCCCTATTAGGGGACTTATAACCCCATTTATAACTACCCATGAACCTCCAAGTAGGGGTATTTAGGGCTCCTTTAAGGGTACCATAGGGTCTTAAGGGTACCTTGTTAGGGTCTTCCTATAACTTATCAAAGGGTAGATGGGCGATTGTGGTTTTGGGGTTTAGGGTGTGGGGCTTAGGGTTTGGGTGGGGAGTTTAGGGTTTAGGGCTTGAGTCTTGAGGGGTTAGGGTTTGGGTGTGGGGTCTAGGGTTTACTAATCAGGACCCTTTGTGCAATGAAGGCCCGTGATGCATATTTCGCTAAGGGCCCTGATATCAGGCTCCTGTTGAATCCCCTTTAAGACCCCTAAACTCGGGGCATGTGGCCCCATTTTAAGCTTCAGGATCTTGTGTGCCCTTCGGAAAATGACCCCGAATAATCGGTCTTTAGGGTCAACCCAGAATTGGAAGGGAAGAGAGAGTCTACGAGTAATACCGACTCTTGACAAGGTTGTTTCGACTTCACACGGAGGCCCACCGACGTCGCGTGGTACCCCTCCAGCATTTATATTGTTATCGCATCTTAGATAGTACCCGTACGGTACCTCTATCGTACCCTTACTACCGTTACATGGAACCCCCATGGTACCTGGGGAATACGTAGGATCTCTTGTCGAGGGTACTTCAAGCGGAAACGGACCCCTAAACATACCCTCCCTGAAGGATGCCTAAAGCCTAAACCCATGAAAACCTCTACAGCAACAAAGTCTTACAGTACAACGTAACTATCGCTTAAGGATGCCTAAACGCCAAGCCCATAACGCCTTTGCAGTAACCCACCGGGTTCGAGTACTTTGAATGCAACGGGAGGGGCTGCGGCATGCCTCCGAACTTCACCATGGCGTCGTGCGCCTTTATGCTGTTCTGGGCTTTTGAAGGGGGCCTATGAAGGGGGCGTCTTAAGGGTTCCTTTGAAGGTTCCTTTCAAGGATCCCGTAAGGGATCATTTCAAAAAGCGTCTTAAGGGAGCTTTTGTGGCGATATTTTAAGGCTTTTTGCCACTTCCGGGGCAGAGGCTAAGCTTCAGCTGAGAGTTTGGAATCTTTGGGCCGGGTTCCGATTCACTAGACGAAGGTTTATTCAGGGAGTCTGAGGGGACGTGCTTACGAATTTTCAGACTTCTACATAAATTGACACCGTTGCGAATTCTTACTGTGGGCATGCACCATCTCTGCTGGGGAACGTTATGGCCATCAAAAGTCTAAACCGGGTTCGGGGACACCCTACGACCAACCGAATGAACAATTTCACCAAACACAGGGATCCTTCCATAGAACCCTGAGAGGCACTTGATAGGATCGCAATTTAAAGTGACCTCCTGTTTTTTTGAAACCCCCCAAAAAGGTCCGCACGGCTCCATCCTGGCAGCCAAGAAAGACCCGCACGGAAACCCAAAGAAACCAGGAACGCCTGCATGCTACATCCACGGTCATAAACCGATTCAGGCAGAGATTAAAGGTCCAAAGTTTCAGGCTTTGGGGTCTAGAGCTAAAAGGTCAAAGCTTTGCTGTTCTGTCCCCTCTCTGAAGAAGCTGTGCATAAGACCATTACAGAGCCCTTATATCGCCCCTACAAGGCCCTTTCGACCACTTTTTAAGGAAAACTCGAAATGCCGCGTCGCCTCAATGGTGGAGACCTGGAAGGCATCGCCGGGGACGCGCAGGCCTCAGAAAAAGCTGGCGTACGTTCCCCGTAGCATTCTGTAATTGCGTTTCCTGAAAGGGTGTGCTTTTAACTAAACCTGAAATTTGTGAACCCAAGCTCCGACACTAGAAGTTCTCCATGCTTTGGCCCCTAAACCCGAAACCCTCAACCCTAAACCTTGTATGTCGAAAGGCCGAGGTCCGTGGTGATCCATCCGACCGTCGCGAGCATCGCCACGCGGCCATGCTTAAGCTCCGCCTTCCCAGATTTTCGGGAGGATCCAAAAAGTAGATCCCTTAATGGGTGTTCCATTTAAAGTACCCTTAGTAGTCTAGGGGCCAAATTAGGGGATTTAGGGTTTCGGGTTCAGAGCTATGGATTAGAATCAAGGGTTTGGAATTTAGGGTTTGGGGTATTGTCCTCTAAAAACCTATATAACGTCCGACGTAAACCTACTTCAAGACTCGGGGGACTGTGTGAAGTGGTTGTCAGTAGAGCTTAAGAGCCTAATCGGGGTCTATTTATACATTACTTCCCCTTGTTTTTTTGATGCTCGTAAAGAATACCCTAGAAGATAGAACACTGTCTTGCAGTGTGCACCAGAGTATGAAGCTTCGGATGCATTCTGGACGACCGAAAACCTCAAAGTCTTACCGCCCTATAAAACATCTTGTGAATGACGATAAAGCCCCCAATTGCAGCCCTAGAAACCATTCAAATCACTATCTCATTAACCTATCTCCTTGACCCTAAACCCTAAACCCTGCACACTCGAACGCAAAACCCCAACACCCCAAGCCCCAAACTCTGGAGCCCCTAGAACCCTGGAACCCAAACCCTAAACCCTGAAACCCCCCAGCCCCAGAACCCTAGAGCCGAGCCCCATCGTAGAGGCCTCACTAGTTTGAGTAGGGCCTTAGTCTTAGGCTCCCATATCCTATAGATATGAAAATTAAAAGGTAACCCGAAGGAATAAACTTTGATCACTGTTTAGACTTCCATGCTGTTGATGGACACAATCCTGCACGACCCTAAGGACTCTAAGCTATGGGAACTATGGTATATTCCTTATTTTGGGTAATGCAGGATTTTAACCCCAAGCCCTAGAATCCTAGACTTCCATAGTATCCAGAAACCGGCCTCACGGAGCCAGCCGATCTCGAAGGCCAGCGAGAAGCCCATGGGATCGAAGCCCTCCTCCTCACCTTCGGGCACGTAGGGTTTAGGGTCTAGGGTTAATGTAGGGGCCTCGATAATTGGAGGAGTGTGCTGGGGCCCACTATACTCTGAATATGAGAAGGAACCCCCAAAAATGGGTGTTGGTAATTCTTTTCGGCCCCTAAATTATTAGGGCTTGATGGAACTTGATAACAGATGCTCGCAGTGAAGGATTCTGCGGTGGTTATGGAACTTGTCAGATCTTCCCCCTAGGTGTGTAGAGGGTTTCGTAGGATTTTTCGTTGATGCTATAACGGCCTAAGGGCTTTATAGTGAACATGGTCTTTAAAAACCCAGACAGAGACTCCAATATCGCTTAATTAAGGAATATGCCTGAAACTATAGTAGGATCCCTAAAATGATTTAAGGAATATTCAATTAATTAAGGGATATTGGAGTCTTTAAGAACCCTGGGGCCGCCCTAAACCCTAAACCCTAAACCCTAAAGCCTAAACCCTAAACCCTGAACCCTAAACCCTAAACCCTAAACCCTAAAGCCTAAAGCCTCTGCCAAGAGCCCCGAGGATATGCGCAGCGCCTGGGATGCCGTCCAGAGCTGGTGACATCGGGAGGAAGGGCACCTGAAGAGCTCGACCGCCGTTGGGGCGGTTTAGGGCTTATAGGGCTTGGGGTTTATAGGGTTTATAGGGCTTATAGGGTTTATAGGGCTTATAGGGTTTAGGGCTTAGAGGGTTTAGGGTTTATAGGGTTTATAGGGCTTATAGGGTTTAGGGTTTAGGGCTTATAGGGTTTATAGGGTTTAGGGCTTTTAGGGTTTAGGGCTTTTAGGGTTTATAGGGCTTATAGGGTTTAGGGCTTATACGGCTTAGGGTGCAGGGCCATGGCGTGTAGGGGATTGGGCTTTGGGGTATGGGTTTGGGCTTCGAACCTCCCGCGTTTAGCCTTGAACTGAACCCGAAACCACAAGCCCGACCTGGGTTGGTCTTTAAACACCCTCAAAAAAATATTTATATATAGGGTCCCTTATAAACCCCAATCAGGAAAATCAAAAAATGTCCCAAAATCCAACGTAGCGAAAACCAGACCCCTGTGTCAGTCAATTGGATCCTTTTGGAAGGGCCTAACGAATTGGCAAATGGAGAGCGTTTGAAGGGGGCGGTTACGTTCCACGATAATTACACAGGGACTAGGGACCTATATTACATTCATCCTCATGTCAAGCCCACAGACCCCAAACCCCCCACAACACCTCTGAGCAAACCCAGCATAGAACCCTAAACCCTAAACCCTAAAGAGCCCTTTTCTGTAGCAGCCCCCAATGCGAAAGCGAGCTTTCCCAGATCCCCCGGATCGATGGCAAGGCGCCGCAGCGCTCATCTTGTAGCCGGCCTGCCTGAGGGCGCGGAGGATTTACCTCGAAGCCCCTAAGCCCTAAAAAAGAGCCTTGATGGTTGCGAGTTTAAAATTTTTCTTTGGTGGGACGTTTAGGGTTTAGGGTTTTTTTAGTTCGAACAGGGTTTTGGATTTCACTGTAGTTTCCTGGGACTATATATATATATACATAAAGGGAAACCAGTACTACTTCTTCCGATCTCTATATCGGGAGTCCCTGAACTAGTTGACACCTGACTTGGGAGTTTCTGTTGCTGAAGTTTTGAAACCCAGAGACTCCAATATCCCTTAATTAAGGAATATACCTTAAACTATAGTATTAGTAGGATCCCTAATATGATTTAAGGAATATTCAATTGATTAAGGGATATTGGAGTTTCTGGGAACAGGGCCCAGCTAAGCTTACTCAGTCTGTAAAGGAGAGCATTGGTCGACGAGACATGTCGGAGTCATATGGGCGGTTACGGTGTAATATAGGGGCCTTCATGATTAGAATAGGGTTTTGGGGCTGATGATACTATCATTATAATAAGGAACCCACCAAAATAGTAAATTGGCAATTATTTTTTGGGCCCCTGTAGGGCTTGAGCTTGGAAGCTCTCAGAAGCCCTCCAGACTCGCACGATGCACCTCGCCACGGCGCTGCGCTGCGTGGACCTGCGCAGGAAAACCAAACATCCCTCTGTGCTAAAGGCGGCGCTGGATCTTTAAACATTGTGGATCATGTAAATACCCCTTTAAAGTCTTGTAACGAAAAAAGCCTTGAACTTTGTGGGAATCCTGGAACTGAATCCGGGAAAGGGTTTAAGATCCGGATGCTGGGGTTTCAGTGCATCCTTGGGGCGTCTCTAAGGTTGAGGGATTCGACTCTGGGACCAGGGTTTCTGGTTGAGTAGGGATAGCTTGTGTCAGGTTGATAACGATCTACCCGTTCGGACCGTGCTTATATGCATACCCACACACACATCAACCTACACATACACATACACATACATATGACTATACATATACATATATACATATCTTCCTCGGCATTTCTAAAGCTAAGGGATTCGGCTGGCTGTGGGATCAGGGTTTCTCGTTGATGGTAGCTTAAGATCCCCCTCCCTTCATAAGTCTCCGGCCCTGAATGAAAGGGAGTCCTCAGGGTGTACCCAGAGACTCCAATATCCCTTACCCTAGGACTCCAAATAGCCCAAAGTAGGTACTATTTATGGACTTTAGACCCCAAAGTAGGTACTATTTGTAGACTTGGAGTCTTCGGGTTAATTAAGGAATATACCTTAAAGTTTAGTAGGAACCCTGATGTGATTCAGGGAATACTCCTTAATTATGGGCTTTTGGAGTCCGTGGGTAGGGCGTTTAAGGACTTCGGGCCTAAGGGATCAAGGTTCAAAAGCCGAGTTCGCACCCGAAGGGGTTCCAGAAAAACTCTGCCCAACATAAATAACATCTTGGTAAGAGAACCGAGGGTTCATAGGGTTAGAGGTTTAGTTTAGGGCTTGGGGTTTGGGAGCTGAGGGTTGCAGGTTTGTGTCAGTACCATGTAAAACCGCCAAGTCGGGCAGCAGTCTCTTCAAGACCTCTCACACTCCACAGCAATCCTATGAAGATCAAAAACGAATATAAAACCTTACAGCTGATGCTCAGCAGCTGGGCAGACAGTCAGAACAAGAACCATCCGGACAGCTCTGCAAAGCAAGCCCAAACTTAAATCCCCAAACCCAACAGCTCCGCAAAACAAGCCTATCCTGAAACCCGACAGCCCTGCAACACAAGCCTAAACTTAAATCCTGAAACCCAATCAACCCTTAACCCAAAACTGCCCCAAAAATACCACTTACATCCCCTAGCCTACACCGGGGAACCCCGGAGTCCTCTAAGGATCCCAGGTCCGGAACCCGAAACCTTGAACCCGAATCCCCAACCCCTTAAACCTCAGGGTTTAGGGTTTAGGGTTTAGGGACCCTAAAACCGCTAAACCTGAAACTGAAACGCAAAATCCTGAACTACAAGTCCCCCAAGCCACGAAAAAAATGTAACATGACATAACATAACGTAATATAGACAATGTAACCAGTACAATACACTACTACATCATGTGGTGTGCTATGCTGCACTACTAAATTGGGGGTTTCCCAAAATAGGGGACCCTAATTCCGAAAATACGGGACCCTAATTCCGAAAATAGGGGACCCTAATCTAGTACCCTAAGTAGTAGGATCCTTATTATAAGGACACCAAAAAAAGGTACCCCCAAAAGAAGGTACCCCTAATTTTCGGAAACTCCCAAACCCTAAACCCTACACAGTATAGATCCCTTATAGGACCCCTTAAAGGAACCATAAGGAACCCTTATAGGTCCCTTTAAAGGAGCCCCTAACTTTCGGAAACTCCCATATTTTGGTGTCCTTATAATCAGGATCCTACTATTTAGGGTAATTACCATATTTGGGTCCCCTAATTTTCGGAGACTCCCACATAACCAAATGGACCAGGCCTGTGTCCGGCCAGGGACCCAGAAGCAGGGGCCACAGAGGCCGCGCTGAGCCCGGAGGCATCCTTCGCGCGAAGAAAAGGCTCAAGGGTTTATGGTGGAAAGTTTAGGGTTTAGGGTTTACGGGTTTGTGGTTTAAGGTTTAGGGTTTGGGGTTTGGGGTTCAGGGTGGAGGGTGCAGCAGGATTTAGGAGGGGGTTTGGGGCTTTTGAGGCTTGGGGTTTTGGTTTAGGTTTTAGGGCCGTGGGTGTCCGATGCTGCAGCTGCCGCTGAAGATGCATGCCGTCAATATGACGACAGCGGTGACTAGTGATGAACACGATGATAGTAAGGCTGATGGTGACGTGCTCCTCTGAGCATTTCGAACACTGCCTTGCGTCTGACTGTAGCTCCTTGTCTTCTGCGTTCTAGATCTACTGCCGTAGTCGTTGGTCGGACACAACCCTAGACCCGCAAACCCGAAATCCAAGACTCCCAAACCCAAAGGCCCAGATGTCTAGCCCTCTACTGCTTTACCGTGAAGGACCCTCTGCTGGGATTTGGATTTCACGAGGTATCATTTCAAGGCCTTAATGACAAGTCTAGGCTTTTGGGGTATCGGGGTATATTGAGCTATACTTGTACATAGAGGGACTTCCAGCGGATACTATCATCAGTTGTTCAGATTTCTGTACTGGAGAGTTTCGCGCCTGAAGGCATGGCGTGCGAATGGGGAACTTCAGAACACAGCACGGGACGGCAATATGGGAGTTTCCAAAAATGGGGGGGGGTACCTTTATTTGGAGCCCTTACAAGGACCCTGCTGGGTACCGTATTAGGGTCCCCTATTTTCGGAAACTCCCATATGAAGGCCCCCGAACAGAACGCCTGGCTAAGGAAATCTGGAATTGAGGTTAAATCCCCATCAAGAAGGATGCTTGCAGAAGTCACCATGGAGATTTACAGGTCAGCTTGTACTAAGTACTAGTTTGATACTACCCTAGCATGCCATGATCAAGATGACCAGAAAGCTTCTTGAAAGTGATTGTTATTGTCGGCATGCTGACAAGTTGACTAGTCATTAGCTCTGTGCTTTCTCCATCGAGTCCTTCTGGGCGTAGAGCCATGGGAAGCCGTTACCGGTGAGAGTTGCCTCCCGAATCCGCTAGTGCAGGAGATCAGAGACGTCGGAGTGTCAGTGGGTGCGCGCAGAAGTTTCAGGGCTCAGGTGGGTAGTTGTCAAGACTATGGTCCCTTTTCGGGTTCCCTAAATATTAGGTGCCGTACGATATTAAGGACCCAAAAAGGGACCCTAATTTTGACAACCTCCCAGATAAACCACGCACCCCAAGCCCTGATCCCAAACCTCAAAACCCTAAACCCTGAACCCCAAGCGTGAAGGCACGGCGAAACAACAAGGCCGCCGGAGAATGCCGGTATCTTAGTCGACCCTATGAGCGACGCACGGAATGTAGGGGCCTTAATGATTAGAATAGGGTTTTGGGGCCCCTTATGCTACAGTTACAATAAGGAAGCCCCCAAAACACGATAGATAACGATTAAGGCCCCTTTAGTAATCCCATCCCTCTCTAATCCCCACATAACGTGAGTGAAATATCCATGCAGGCACTGTATGAGCTATCTCAAAGGCGGCAGGTGCGTGGCCTAGTTTCGGGCTTCTACCTGCGCTGCCCGCACCTGGGCGCAGCCCCTAGAATTATGAGTTAAGCTATATTCGATAAATTAAGGGGTATTGGGCTCTCTGGGGACCCTTCTTGGAGGCCTGTGTGATGGCTCCACCGAAGGCGAGCATAGCAAGGCGCCCGTTCTTCAGCTCCTTCAATTTCATCTCCTGGCTCCGGGGCGAGGCGTAGGGCTTTTTTTCTGTGGGGGGTTTAGGGTTTAGGGGGTTTAGGGGGTTTAGGGGGTTTAGGGGGTTTAGGGAAAGGGGTTTAGGGGGTTTGGTTTAGGGGGTTTGTGGGGTTTTGGTGGGGTTTTGGGGTCAGGGGACTAAGGGTTTACGGATGAGGAGCCTCATCTCCTGGATAAGTTACTTACCGTGATATAGTAGGGTTTAAGGTTTAGGGGTGCAGAGCTTCATCTCCTGGCTCAGCTAAGCCGAGGCAGCAGGCTACTTAGGTTTTGGGGCTTAGGGAATTTAGGGTTTAGGGATTTAGGGCTTGAGTTTAGGGTTTAGGGGTTTAGGTATTCAAGGTTTTGCGTCATTAAGGGATTATTTATGGTTGGATAGGGTATCGGACAGGATTCATGAACAAAGCAGTACAGGATGTTGTCTCTTAGCAGCAAGAGTTTAGGGTTTAGCATGCTCAGCGTTGGGTTGAGGGCTTTTCATGAAGCTGATATGGCTTTGGGTTTAGACCATGGGTTGCTCGGTTCGAAAAACTCTGGCCCTCAACACTGAACCCTCAACCCTGAACCCCAAGCTTTAATGTAGGTGCCCTCATGGCCAGAATAAGGCTTACCGGTGTACCTTTTCCGAGAATTGTAGCGGAAACATGTTGAGCAACTCGTCCGACTTCTACATTATCGGAACCACATAAACACCTAAACGGAACCCTGATAGAAGCAGTTATAGGAGCCCTTTTAGAAGCCTTGAAAGGAACCCTTAAGAACTCTTCCGACGTCGATTTTGAACCCTGTACCTCCAACCCAAGGGGCGCTTGGAACGACCCCGAGCCTCTCTTTGCACTTGGGGTTTAGGGTTTAAGGGTTAAGGGTTTAGGGTTTAGGGTTTAGGGGTTCAGGGTGGAGGGTTTAGGGTTTATGGTCTCGGGCTTGGGTTCGCGGTTTAGGGTTTGGGGCTTGCGGCTTGGAGTTTAGGGTCTTTTGGGCTTGGGGTTGCGGCTTCGGGGTTTAGGGTGTTTTGAGTCTGACTCTTGGGGTCTGGGTGCATGCTCTTTGAGGGCTGCTAAAAGGGATCTCTGAGGCGGTTTGGGAGTTTACCTATAGTCTCCATTGTAGTTCCTTTTTTGGGTTACCTTATAGGATCCTTAATATATAATTAGTGAAACCAAAAAAGGAACTACAATGGAGACTACAGGTAGGATTGGAGGGTCAAGGGACTCAGCAAGTAGATAAAGGAGAATCAAAAGTGGCATAAGCCCCCCAACTTGGGCAACCGTCACCTACCGACTGATCTTCGAAGAAGTCCCGTGTAGCAACCCATCAACATCAGAGCCCCTTGCATCCCGGCGCAGGCTGAACAAGGGCTTCGTAGGGGGTTTCGGGTTTAGTGTTTTGGTGCTTCGTGAAGCTTCAACTAGCCGGGACTGAATAGCCGAAGCCTCTTTTGTGCTTGCAACTTGCCTCTTTTCTGCTTTGCAGAACGCAAAAAATGGTCTTCCCGGTACGACCACGAGCATCCGTGGGCAGTTGCTGCAGAAAGGTAACCCTCATGTCTCGATGCAGGGGCCTGAAAAATGAAAATAGGGTTTGGGGTCAATTTTCTGTTTAATACTGCTACAATGACGAATCCTCAGGAACAGTACTGGTATTTATTGGGGGCTCTGCATACACCCCGGGCCGTCGAATGTTATAACCCTGAAGCCCTCAGCCACCAGTAGAAGCGGCAACGCCTGATACCCTCACCAAGAACGACTCGATAGGGTTTAGGATCTACGGCATGCAAAGCCTCGGGCCATAGACACCAAATCGTCGACGATGGGTCCTATGTGTGAAACGTCGTGAATGCGAGCTAGCGGTGACTGGGTATGCCGTTGGGTGCTCACCCGAGCTGCACTGCCGGACGTCTCGTCGACACAGGCACGCAAGTACAACGAAGGTCACATGCAGTCGGAAGTGCAATGTGCACCCTTACACTCAAGGATCCCTTGTAACAACCCATACTGTATCGAAGCCTCGTCAGCTGGGGATTGCCTTTTGTCGGTTTCGGGTTTACCGTGAAAGACAATGACATACCTAAAACGGCCCTGAGGGCTTTCGGGCTGTATAGCTTTGGACCTTCCTCGACGTGGTTCTCCCCCAACCAGGGAGGTCGTCCGGATCAAAGAGACGGTGCGCCGAGAGACAGGGTGCGCGAGAGCTCTACACATTGAAAATTCGGATCTTACTCATCAGAATGGGGTAGAGCTTGGTCACAATGCATTTACAAATTCCACTTAAAACTCTAGAAGAAAGAAACCGTACTATGACACCTTTACGGAAGCCGTATTCAAGGAATACACGAACACGGGAACACAGCTCCTTCTTCTCATCACTGGGACTATAGGGGCCTCAACAATTAGAATAGGGTTTGGAGGGTATACTATACTGTCGTCATAATAAGGAACCTCCAAATCCCTGTTCTAATTATGGCCCCTATAGTACTATGCTGTCATAATACTGTAGTCATAATAAGGAACCTCCAAAACCCTATTCTAATTATGGCCCCTATATTTCTATACTTGCTGTCTCCGGAAAAGCCCTCCCTCAGGCGCAAAGTGGGTGGGCTGTACCCCCTCCTCAGGGGGTACTTCGGAAGAGCCACCACAAACAGACGGCCAACACCGTCATCGTGCTATAAAACATGGGGAGTGTTCGAAATCATCGTCCCTCATCGTCCCTGGTTTTGCTCCTAAACCCTACAGCCCTTTAAAAAAAAGCACACACACACACAATCACCCTAAAGCTTATGTAGGCTTACTCTGGCTTAGAAAACTCTCGGCTTGCGGGTTTTGGGTTTATGGGTGAATGTTTCGGGTGCAAGGTTTGCATTTTCTAAACTTGACTTGTGTTCACCTTCCTCGTATGGTGTTGAAAAAGGTCGTGGGGTCTTGCGGGCTGCACGAGGCTTTGATGAGATCTTGCAGAAGCACAACGTGGGGTCGTGCAGACTAGAACCTGCATGAAGGCCAAAGTGGGTGAGCCAGCCCTGCATTTAGAGCAGTTAAGATCAACAACACGACCATTGAGGGGCTCCGATTTCGACTTGAAGGAGTCTTGGTCGCATTTGCTTAGTCTCGAGGTTTCGGCACCTACCAGACCCTAAACCCTAAACCCTAAACCCTACCTACCATAAGAAGCCTGAGAAGGCGAAAGGGATGCTAAGCAACAGCACCGCTGTGGCAGGTGCCATGCGCTGATCTGCTTTGCTCACCTGTGCAGAGTTCCAGGCGTCCATGAAGCCTCCGAAGAATTCCTGGAGCTTCGGGTTTGGCCCTACGGGTGCGTAAGTACTGATACTAATAAAAACAATGCTAGTAATGCAGTACTGATAAGAGTAATATCCCTAAACCCTAAACCCTAAGCCCTTAACAATGACAGTAACAATCACAAACGAATCTCACTCTGAGTGGTCGGGTTTGCTTGGAGGCCTGGAAAGTCCCTGATCAGACCGAACCCCAAACCCCAGACCCTAAACCCTGAACTCCAAGAGCCCCGAAGCGAGGCTCCCTAAACCCCACACCGTAGCATTTCGGCTAATGGCTTGGGGTGACGAGTTTAAGGTTGAGGGTTTAGGGTTTAGGGGTTTAAGGTTTGGCGTTTAGAGGGGCTCCTTTCCCTGGTCCATGACGTCGTTGAACAAAGACTGGTCACAAGGCTCCGGATCCCCTTGGCAGGCTCGGGTGCTATTTCGATCCTTGCCCCGTGCTTCAATAAGGGCCCCGCAGATTCAGTGGGGCTTTATACAAATAATATGAAGTATTCTGGCAATGATGGGGCTTTATAGAGATGGTATATGGCGTTGCGAACCGTTTCTCCTGCTCGGTATCCCCGAACAGCGCAAGAAAATGCCTGAAAGATGGCGCTTGGGAAAGGGGCCGGTGGTTCGCTGTGCTTGGGGGAAATTCAGGTCGCAACCAATATAGGGGCCTGAATAAATAAAACTAGAATAGGGTTTGGCGGTATATTAATATACTACAACTATAACATGAGACCACCAAAATAATATCTGTAATCATTCAGGCCCCTATGCTAGTTGCCATCTGTGTTTTTACAACGACCAGGAGACCACTAGAAGGACGCCAGGAGACCACCAGGAGACCACCAAGACACCAGCAAAAGATCACCCGGAGACCACCGAGAGACCAGAACAACACCAGGCAGACCACCCACCAAGCGACCGCTACGACAGCCCACGGAACACTTAGGAAATTATCAGAGGACGACCCACGACAAGCACTGCGACCAGGACGACCACATCACCGGGAGACCACCAGGCGATCACCAAGAGACCACCAGGAAACCAGCAGGAGACCACCAAGACATGAGGAGACCACCACGAGACCAGATCAGAAGTTAGCAACCGGTAGATCACCAGGACACCACCAGGAGACCACCAGGCACCAAGAGACAACAGGCCACACGCGGAAGGCTTCTCCCCCTCAAATACTGTAAGGCCCTTAATAATTAGAATAGGTTTTGGGTACAACTGTCGTAAATATCCCCCAAAACCTTCTTCGAATTATTCCGACATTGCTGGCCACTTGGTTGCCCCAAGTATCGGTGCATTTCTCGAACACGAGACTTATGCTTCCCTCCGTCGCCATGCAGAGGAACAACGGAAATCGTGTCGGTTTAGGGTTTAGGGTTTAGGGGCCCAGGGACCCGTAGCATGCAGAATCTTCTGTAAATAGCAGGACGAGACGCGTGCCGCGAGCATCCTGTGTACGTGAGATAGGACGCAGCAGCTCCAGAATGCTCGGGGCAATCACTACTAGCATCATCAACGACAACCGTTTTTGTCAACGCCAGCGGTGTGATCGTTTATTGAAGTGCCCATGTTCACCTGTCATTGACCAAAACTAAAACCGCCCCTACCGGACCCTACCTACTCACCCTCTTCCGCAGGCCAACATGGCGGGCGGCACAACACATCATCACGGCTAGAGAGGGTTTAAGGTTTAGGGCTAAGGCTTGTCAAGCATTCTGGTCACCAGGGACTCCGTGAACCGACGGGTCTAGGCCCGAAGCGGAGCCCGAAGGCACAGTCAGCTCATCGCGGTCAATGTTCATCTTCATCTTCATCGTCATCTTCATCATCACGGAAAGCTGCAGAATGAAGAAGACCCTGAACATTCAAAGCAGAAGAGCTCCTTTCGTCAGGTGCTCTTCTGAAACGCTAAGGTCCTGGATTGAGGGTATGCGAGCAAGATCCACAAACCTAGAGGCCAAACCGAGAAACTACAACGGCCCGACAGCCCCACCCTCAAGCGAAGCAGAGGGGCTGGGGTCACCAAACACCACGTTGTCACACCAATGGCTCTTCCAGCAGCCACAGGCTTTCCCCGTGCACGTTCCGGCAACCTAAGATGCGGTGCAGTTGAGGATTGAGAGCATGAAATACTTGTAGCAGTTGTAGCAGTAGCACCAGCAACCGCAGCAGCAGTAGCAGAAGCAGTCGCAGTAGCACTCCTAATCCTACCCGACTACGCCCACAACTACGACTACGACTTCGACTTCTGCTACCACTACTACTACGACGACTACGACGTCTTCTCCTATTACTCCTACTCCTATCATACTGCTACTCCTGCTCCCTCCTCCTCCTCCTCCTTCTCCTCCTCCTCCTCCTCCTATTCCTGCTCCTACTCCTGCATTACTACGACTGCTGCAATTAACGGCTGGGCGAGCCCACGAGGGAAGCCGCATCCCTGCACACAGCTTAAACCCTGGAACCTCAAGGCTTGGACCCTAAAGCCCTGAAGTCTAAACCTTAGCAGGGGCCCTAAAGCCCTGAAGTCTAAACCCGACACCTTAGACAAGGAAAGCAGGGCCCAAAACCCTACCTTAGCCTACCAAACCCTACTTTTTTGTGGGTTCTTATTATGAACCTTAATATGGAACTTATAGGGACCGTACTTTTTTGTAGGGTTTGTAGGTTAAAGTAAGCAGCTATTTTCAACGGTCAAAACAACCATGAGGCGACTCCCTTGTCCAGAACCCAGTACCATCGAATACCCCATAGTTTCGAAACAGGCCCTTCTACAACCCTGACATCTTATCCTACAAAAGCCGCGGGCAGGCCGGTAACGGAGATGTAGTCGTCCTTGCCATCGCACATCTCGCTGAAGCAGCCGAAATGGTTCAAGTTGCCTCGTGCGGTTAGGCGGTTCCTGGTAGCATTCGTTCTTTGAGCTAAACCCTAAACCTTTCTGGGTTTAGAGGTTTGGAGTTTGGGGTTTGGCTAGCGTCGTAGCTTGAGTAGCGTCTAGAACTTGCGAGCCTAAGCCGCCTAAGGCTTGCGGCTGAGGAGTTATGCTTTATGGCTTCAGAGTTCAAACCTTCGGATTTCGGCTGTTGAGGAGTTTAGTGGCTGCAGAGTTTTTAGGGCTTGCGGTTTACTGGGTCGGGTAGAAAAACGAACCTGACGGCCTCTGTTCACAGCCTTTAATATCCATCATGGCCCTTCTTAAAGCTCATAACCCAGTAACAACAACAAGAGAACCCCAAAAAAAGTCCTACGGCCTAGATGGAGTCACGAACAATATCCACACGGCAAGGACATGACGCACTTCTCTTGGACATGACGCAATTCCGGTGCTGATGACCCTTTGCGGTGTTCTGTCAGAACGCGAGCCGGAAGATGAACCATTCGGCAACAACCAAAACCCTAAACCCTGACTCTCCCCGCAACTTGAAACCCAAACCTTTCGCCCCTCGACCCTAAACCCTAAACCCCTAAACCCTAAGCCCTAAACCCCTAAACCCCCAAACCCCCCCTAAACCCTAAGCCCTAAACCCGAAACCCCTAAACCCCGAAACCTAAACCCTAAACCCTGAACCCTGAACCCCAAAGCCACAGCGACCTGGTGCCGAATAGCCGTCGAAGAAGATCCGGTCGGCTTTGAACCTTCGGATCGTCTTGACAAGGTGGTAAAGGGTCTTTTCTGATTTGAAATTTTAAGGGAAACATGGGTTTTAGGGTTATATAAGGTCATGCACGCGGCCACTGACGAGGCAAGAACCCTGATATTCGCATTCCGATAGGTATGAAGACTGATCATCAAGGGTCCACGTCGATGTTTTGGCGCCTCCGCAAGCTAAAGGGAAACGGTATCAGCCGACAGTGTCAGCGAGATGGCGTGAAGCCGGAAAACCAGAGAGATGTCAGGGTATGAATTGGATTCTCCCCCGAAATTTACCCAAAGACACATGCACCAACATTCCTAAGGAGCCCTACATCCGACTCCGTGACGGCTGTTGATCTGGAAGATAGCTCTCAGCGAGGGGGATGTGAGCAAAATACCCGAAACCCCCCGACGACCATGACGACAAGGACCACTAATTTCCGACCATGACGACCGCTGCACCACGAGACCACCAGGAGGTCACCAGGAGGCCACCAGGAGACCGTGCCAGCACGGTTTCGGGTTTAGGATTTAGGGTTTAGGGTTTCCCCCAAATACTAGCTGTAGGACAGCGGTGAGAATCTTTCCCCCAAGCGCTCGCGGTGATGCTTCCCGCCTAACGGGCCGGCAGCTGTACACCACTGTTCTGAATGCTCAAGCTTCAATGCCGACACCTTAAACCATAAAACCGTTGTGGAAGCCTCAAAGCAACCCTTTACAGGAGCCTTGAAAGGAAAACCTCACAAAAAAAAGTCCTCCTATGAAGCCCTACTAAGGAACCCTGATAAAGAGGAGGATTTCCCTGAATAATATAGATATCATAAGCCCTAAACTCCCATAACCTGCTTTTTGTAGGTTCTTATTATGAACCCTAATATGGATTTTATAGGGACCCTAGAAAAAGTAGGTTTTGGTAGGTTTAAGTAGTCACAAATAGGCCAGTACCATATGGGTGGTTGTCAAGATCCTGGTCCCTCTTGGGGTCCTTCATACAAAACGGCACCAAAGATTTAGGATACCCAAAAAGGGACCCTAATTTTCACAACTACCCCGTAGAGTCACAAAACTTACCTTTGGGTAGTAGGGAATGGAAGAATGGTAGTAATAGTAGTCATAATTGTATCCCATTCCTCCATTCCCTCCTAACCAAAGGTAAGAAAAAGGAACCCTAAACCCTAAACCCTAAACCCTGAACCCTAAACCCCTAAACCCTAACCCCTAAACCCTAGACCCCTAAACCCTAACCCCTAAACCCTAGACCCTAAACCCTATTGAACCCGAAGCCCTAAACCCTAAACCCCTAAAAGCCACCGGGATGCCATTCTGGAAGGTTGTCACTCTCGTTCCGGACAGCGAGGAGGAACTTCCACCCCTCGAGCTTCAGGCTTTGGTCCTCGGGGTTCAGGGGTTTTTTGAAGGTTTAGTTAGGGGTTTAAGGGGTTTAGTTTGGGGTTTAACGGGTTTAGTTAGGGGTTTAGTTCGGGGTTTAGTTAGGGGTTTAGTTAGGGGTTTAGGGGTTTAGTTAGGGGTTTATTGAGGGGTTTAGGGGTTTAGTTAGGGGTTTAAGGGTTTTAGTTAGGGTTTTAGTTAGGGGTTTAGTTTGGGGTTTAGGGGTTTAAGGTTCTTTAGTTAGGGGTTTAGTTTGGGGTTTAGGGGTTTAGCCAGGGGTTTGTTTGGGGGGCTCCTGTTCTCCAGTGCCCCGAAAGGTCTGAGAGGCCAGGGTTTAGGGGTTCAGGGTTTAGGGCTTTAAGGGTTTAGGATATGATGTACATCGGGGCTTCAATAATTAGAATAGGGTTCAGGAGCCCAGTATCCTACATTGATCATAAGGAACCCCCAACAACTAGATTAGGGTTTAGGAGGCCAGTATACCACACTTATCAAAAGGAACCCCCAGAATTGTATCGCTAGCTATGTAGGTCTCTCTTCTGCAGGCCTTCATGGCTCCAGGTTCCCTAGGTTCAAGATTCCCTACCAAAGATGCCGCTTTGTAATTTCAGGAATCTTCCTTCATAATCATAAGGGGCTAAATGGAGTCGGGGCCAGAAGGATCTTTTAGATCGCGTGAATTGACTTGAGGCACGCCTGCATCCGGTCGCACTTTGTCTAAAGAAGACAACAAAGCCATACTGTTGATGATATAAATCCTGCATTACCCATAATAAGGAATATACCATAATTCCCATAGTTTAGGGTCCGCAAGGTAATGCAGGATTTATACCATCAACCCTAAACCCTAAACCCCCTATAGATCCCTTAAAGAAGCCCCTTAAAGGTACCCTTCTAGATCCCTTCAACGGAACCCTAGGATTTATCTCATCAACCCTAGGACCCTAAACTGGCCCCAACCCCTCAAGACCGCTGCGTCCTCCCAGCGGCGATAATCCTGGAAGTACGCGCAGTTCCTCACTCGGGTGTCGGGGCTGCCGGAAATCAGTCTATACTGAAGTTAGAAGGGCTCAGGCTTTAGGGTTTAGGGGGTTTAGGGGGTTTAGGGGGCTTAGGGGGCTTAGGGGGTTTACTATGCTGAAGCTAGAACCCTAGCAAAAATTATAATTTTAGTCTTAGGGATTATAATAGCCAGAAATTACAAATTATTTCTAAGTACCCCCCAGCAGTGTCAATGATTTAGCGCTCAGGGTTTAGCTTCGGCCGGGGTCAACGGTTCGGGGGGTTGGGATCAAACATGATCAGAGCATAATGTAGACTGGTTGGGGCAGTAACCCGCACATACACTTTCTGCAAGCTTTCCTTGAAGAACTTTCCGAGCATAGGCGCGGCATGGGCTTTCTTATTCAGCCAAATCGCAAAGATTCAGTTAACCTAGTCTAGTGGCCGATTTCTTGTCATAGCTCACGAGAAGATCTCCACTTCTGGAACTCACTTGGGCAGTTGTGAAAAATAGGGTCCTTTCTGGGTCCTTATTATAATACGGCACCTAATATTTAGGGCACCCAAAAAGGGCCCCTAATTTTGACAAGCACCCACTAGCAAAACACGCCAACGAAAAGAGTGGTGACTCGGCCCGTTCAGCGATGAGCGAGGAAGCGGGCCCTACATCCTACAGGTAAACCCTAAGGCTACATCTAAACCCTACCACATGAACCTATACTGGGTTCCTGAGCAGCACCTTTATAATAATGGCACTCTTTTCCTATTGTTCGGCTTGAATAAGGGGATCCTAAACCAAACAGAACTGCTTTGCACTTTTTGCCCGGTCTCCCAGCGCCACCCTGGTCGTGGTAGGAACCGTGGCTGTCCTCGCAGACGGCCGTCCAAAATAGCGGGACGAAAGAGGGAAAGAGAAATAGGAACAGAGAGAGAGAGAGAGAGAGAGACGATGGGAGCTTTGAGGGCGTCCTGAAATTCAGATGCTGGGATTCAATCCCAAACATGAGTCCTTGAAACGGAGCATGGAGTTTCGTGGCATATTCTAGGCGGTTCAATGGCTCTGAAACTTAAAATCAAGGGCTCTCGTTTGAAGTCCTGTCGGTTTGGTTTAAGTTGGAATATGGTTTCAGGGTAGGATACCCTATGATTTACCATGGAAGGGTTAGGATAATAATATTCCAACTTTCTGGCTTTTACTGTAGGGCCTTTGTTTCTTGAGCGGCCTCATCCAGCTGCAGAGTTCCAGGCCGGGCTGCCCGGAAGCGTCTTCGAAGGAGAAGTGTAGATTTGGGGTTTAGGGTATAGTATAGGGGGTTTAGGGTTTAGGGTATAGGGCTTTCGGGTTTAGGGTATAGGGGTTGAAGGTCTAAGCTTATGGGATTCAGGGTTTAAGGTATAGGCGTTTAGGATTTGGGGTTTTTGGGTTTTGGGTCGGGGTCTGTGCCCCTGGCCCCCGAAGCACCAAACCTCAAGACCTCGCAAAATAGCCCTTACACCCTAAACCCCAAACCCTAAAACCCGTAAATCTAGAGATGTTCGGGCAGTCCGAGCCCACGTAGACGACGGGATGCTCCGTGTCTTCGACGAGCTCGAACTCAGTGACATGCGGGACTCGTGCGATTGGGCGCGCCCTTGCGCCTTGAAGGGTTCCTGCTCGAGCGTTCCCAGGGACTCCAATATCCTTTAATTAGAGAATATACCTTAAGTAATATTAGGGATCCTACTATGGTGAAGGTATATTGACTGATTCAAGGATAATGGAGTCTCTGGGTTCCTGCAAGGGCTCCTTTAGGGTTTAGGGTTTGGAGGACTTCTGGTGTGTAAGTAGGATTTTGCTGTAGCAGTTCGAGGCTTTACATGGCAAAGACCTTTGGAGCTTGACTTAGCTGCTTGGGGCTTCTCGTGCTTCGAAGCCTGGACTGCCCACGAGGGGTCAGGGCGGAATCCCGGGTTGGAAGCCCTAAACTCTAAACCCAGAGACTCCAATATCCCTTACTTAAGGAGTATACCTTAAATTATAGTAGGATCCCTAATATGATTTAAGGAATATTCCCTAATTAAGTGATATTGGAGTCTCTGGGAACCCTAGGCCGGATCGGGGATTGGGGGGAGCGAAAGGTGCAACGCCTGAGATTCGGGTAATATGAGGCCTTCATAATCAGAACAGCGTTTGGCGGTACACCCAAAGCTTTCATCCCTAAAGACTCCTCAACCCTCATCGCTGAAGTCTATAAAGCCCCATATAGGGGCCGAAATAATTGCCACCACAATGCTGGTGGGTTCTTCATTATAAGTGCTTATTTATCATCTACCCAACACCCCAGTCTAATTAATTAGAATGGTTTCGGAGCCCATTATACTAACCCCCCAAAAACAACAGGTAATTATTAAGGCCCCCCTGATAGATCCCTGATAGTAGCCCTTATATATGTGCCCGCGCTCCGCGTTCTCGACCCCCCCCCCCCCCCCCAATGGTATCCCCCCCCCCCCGACCCGGGCGACCACACAACAAGAACAAGAACAAGAACAAGAAGAAGAACAGCAGCAACAACAAAGCAGCAGCAACCACGCGGAGGAACCACAGGAACCACAGGGGGGGAGGGGGGAGACAGGAACCAGAAGAACCACAAAAGGGAGGGGGAAAACCAAGAGGAACCACAGGGGGGGGGGGGAACCACAGGAACCACAGGGGGGGGGGGGGGATTACCATGGGGGGGGGAGGGGGGGGGGGGTGCGCGGATGCTGGCACATATAGACCCCTTTAATGGGACCCTATTCTAAGCATTAAGGCCCCTCTACTCTCTGCGACGCGAAACTCCCAACCCTAAACCCTAAACCCTGAACCCTGAACCCTAAACTCCCTAAGCCCTAAACCCTAAACTCCCTAAACCCTAAACCCTGCTACCCAAGAGGCGCTCCCCCGGTTTCTGGTGTAGGAGCCGCTGTGCTGATGGAATCGAACCCGCTCCACGCGGCTGTTCCTGGCGGCTCTAGGGTTTATAGGGTTTAGGGGGTTTTGGGGGTTTTGGGGGTTTAGGATTTAGGGGTTTGTAGGGTGTAGGGGGCTTTGGGGGTTCCAGGGGGTTTAGGATTTAGGGGTTCAGGGTTTCGGATTTAGGGGTTCAGGGTTTAGGGGTTTTGGGGTTTATGGTTTAGGGGTTCATGGTTTAGGGGTCTTGGGGTTTAGGATTTGGGGGTTTAGGGGGCTTACGGGTAGTCTGGGTTTGTGGCTACGGCTCATGGCTGAAGTGCCACTGCTGCTACTGCTGCTGCTTGTGTCTCCGGCGTCAACCGATGGTAGAATTAATGCGATAACAGCCACAAGCACCATGGGATGTTGGCAAGTTGAAGGCAAGGAAGGGACAGGAGAAGAACAAGAAGATGTTGACAGCCAGCACAGTGGCTCATGCATCAAGAAGCATGGTTCATGTCATCAGGGTCCTGATATACACGGCCACTGTCTCCCAGTCGCCCTTGTGAGCGCCGTACTCTTCATCATGGATGGGACCCAAGTCGATCTTGAGACAGGCCGGCTGATGGCTATACCTCCGGTGTTCTCTGCGTTACAAACTTGACAACCTCAAGCTCTACTTGGACGTGTAGGGGTAGGCTTTCAAGTTGGCGAAAACAAAAGCATATTGATAGATCTCCGTGGCGCCAGATGTGGTAAGTGATGGCGATGGAGGCATTTGCACATTCCTCGTATTGGTAGAACCTCAAGCAAGCGAACCGGCCCAGGCAAAGCATGATGGTGATGTCATGCGGATCATGCTGCTGGTGGAGAACCTACATGATGATGGTGATCGTTATCGTGATTGTGATCGTGATCGTGGTGGTGATGGTGATGCTGATGGTGATGATGATGGTGACGGTGATGGCTCTTCCATTCCTTGTTGTGGTGAGTGCGGTGATGATGGTGAAACTGACGGTGGAGACCGCGGCAACGATGATCATGGTCACCATCATCACCACCACCGCCATCGTCAAGACCGGGACAGATGCCAATGATGACGGCAGTCTTGATGATGATGACGATACAGATGAACATGAACGACGAAGTCAAAGAACAGGCTGATGCACCGGGTGATGGTTGATTCAAAAGACAAGGAGGAAGAGGAGGAGGTGGATGAGAAAAAAGGAGTGGGAGCAGAAAGGGATGATGACGATCACGACGACGACAATGATGACAGTCAGATTGACCCTCAGCCTGACGCCCCGAACCCTGAGCCCGAAGCCCTCAATTTTGTTTTAAGCATTAAACCAGGAGAACCCCCGACCCTAAACGACGATGACTCTAAAACCCTGGAGAAGAACTCTTAATTTAGGGCTTAGAGTTTAGGGTTTTACCCATCCCCAAAAGGGCATCATACTAGCTGCCTAGCTCTGGGAGTTCCGCGGTCACGCCCTGACAATCGGCTCGTATGAGCAACTAGCGATCTATCTATATCTGCATAGATGTATAAAACACAGACACTTATATAAATAGGTTTATATATGCAAACAGAAACTTCAACACTGTTTCGAGGAGGGCAGGTAATCTGGGGGTTCGGGAAGCCAGCCCAGCGGCATAGGCACCTCACCTTGCTCCAGCTTAGTGATGTCTGACTCGCAGATGATGTCCGTGTTGTTTTGCTTCCTCTGCCAGTAAACCGTCTCAGGATGTCCCGGCAGGCATCTCGCCTGTAAGCGCTCACTTAGGGTTTAGGGGGTTTAGGCTTTAGAGTTTGATTTTAGGGTTTTGGGGTTTAGAGTTTTGGGATTTAGGGATCGTTAAGTCGTTAAGGGTCTAGGGTTCAGGCACGAGCTTCCCCGTTGCCAAATCAGCGGCAGGTGCCTCTGGCCGCGGCCTCCCTTTGTCTTGTTCGCGTCTACTGCAACTGCTACTGGCAGCATCGTCCTTACCCGACTCCTAACCCTGAGACCCCTAAACGCGAAACCCGCCTAAACCACCCTAAAACCTGGACCCCTAAACCCGAAGGCCCGAAGGATCATTCTCGTTCTCGCTGCCGTCTGGGATACTTCTTGTGCTTTCTGTTTAGACATCATGCTGTTACTGTCAGCAGCATCGCATGTACAGTACATTGCCATAAACAACATCACTGCATGCAACCATTGCTGTAGCTACTACAAGTAGTAGCCTCATGTTATTCGTATAAAAGACCACCGAGGATCAATCAAACTTCCAAGGGAATAGTAATACGGACAAAGGTAGCATGTCAGGATCCCGGCACACATACTATGTGACGCAGGGAGCCAAATACCCTGCGATTAGGCAAGGTTCGGGGTTCAGGGTTTACCATGTAGGATTTAGGAAGTCAGAAGTTTCCTTCAACCATTCCTTCAGTACAGGCTCTCTCGTCACGCTACCGATGGCTTCTGTACAACAAGTACGTTCTACCACATGCATCATCCAGGACCCTAAACTTGTCTGGGAGTTGGGTTGAGGTTTTGGAGTTGCCTTGGGGAGTCGTGTAGGCTGATGTAGGAACCTGATTAAGAAACCCTGGCCCTAAGACCCGCAAGTAGTAGGCTTCATTATTCATACAAGGAACCCTAATAAAGGCCCAAGGTTGCTGAATCGGGTTCCTACGTTACTCGAAAAAACAGGAGGGACCCCTCCTCCGTGATGGTGGCTTTGTCCAATCGCAAGACCGGCGCGAACTGCGTCGCCATGTTCTGAGGCCATCAGAGACGGACGCGAAACAGTTTTCGGGAAATTCCTCGATTAATGATTGGGCCCTTTACCTAAGGCACGTTCCTTCAGTCAATTATTGTCGTAAGAAGCCCTACTTATCACCCTAAACCCTAAACCCTGATTGTCATAAGAAGCCCTACTTCTTCTAAAGATCGGGCTCTCCAGACTCGACTACTATTGTTCATAGTGTCACTCTTCTTACGTCGATCTATCATATTGCTATTAGCATAACCATCATCACGGTTATAGTTGTCATTGTTGTTGTCATCAGCATTATTCTTGCCACGATGATGTCTATTGCTACAGTTTCCATGATTGGTAAATAGACACATAACATCACATGACCGTTTAACCTGAGCTGGGCAGAAATCTCTGGAGTCTTTGCACGTCCTGCTTCAACTCAGTGCTGTTGCTGTTCAGGTTTGAGGGTACTGGCTCGTTGGTTGGGAGTGGCTTTGCTTGGGGTCTGAGGGGAGTCCTTGAGTTTAAGCTTCAGGGTTCTCGTGTTGGATGCGGGTTTAGGCCTTCGAGTTGTCTCTGCGAAGATCCTTCTAAGCGTGACATAGTCATGTTTGGAAACCCAGATGTGGGAATGTACCCAGGCTTCTTGCTGGAAGAGAGTCGCCTGGACCTGCATAGAGAGTCCCATCTATGCAACCTAAATCCTACATCCCCAAACCCTGACAACGAAGCGAAGTTCGTTCGGTCAGGGGTCTGGGAGGCTGACATACGCACTGCACCCTGATATCTAAATCCAGAACACGAAGATAGCGGCAACGGAATGCTCGCTCGGAATCCATCTGTCCGTCAACGAATGCACCCAGAAGCCCGTCGACGCCGAAACCCACAAACCCTGAATCCTACACACCGAACCCCTTGGATTCTCGAACCCTGAGTCCCTCCTTCCTGAACCCTGATTCCGAAGCCCTTAACCCAACGATGCTAGATTAACAATATCATAAAAAGTTTTATCCTTCAATATTAGAGAACTTGCTAAAGAAAATATTTTATAATATATGTTGATAAACATTAAATATTGAAGCGCAGTCCCAGGAGCCAGCTGGCAGGCAGTGTCCGTGCCGCAGAAGGTGCCGCTAGCGGCAACCCAGAGGGTGGCAAAGAGCGCCAAAAGACGAGCCATGGCGATTCAGTGAAAATTCCTTGAAATCGTGGGTAGATTGCTCAGGGATGGCGATCATTCAGGATCCGATTCAGTGAAAGTCGTGGGCAGATTGCTTAGGGATGATCATAATTCAGGATCTCACTGCTTGGCTGGATCATGGCCTCCCCTAGTTTCTGAGACCTCCGAAGCCCACGCCACTTACTAGAGATACTATACGGGCTACCATGAGGGGGGTGCTGGACATGGAACCCTTGTAGATTTACGAGATTAACACTGAACCCACAGGAATCCCAAGTTTAGGGGCTTCGGGTTTAGAGTTCAGTGTTTAGGGGTTTAGGGCTTAGCAAAGCCTAAACCCTAAATGAAGACCTTCTACGCTGAGAGCCGAAACTCCCTTCTCGGCATCTCCCTGCAAAGGCTTGTCTGGTGCTGTCGCAGGGAACCCACCCAGAGACTCCAATATCCCTTAATTAAAGAATATTCCTTAAAGCATATTAAGGATCCTGCTATAATCTGAAGTATATTCCTTGATTAAGGAAAATATTGGAGTCTCTGGGAAGGCTTGTCTGGTGCTGTCGCGGGGAACGTGAGGATACCTTTCGCTGGTTGCGTGCGTGGTGGTGGTGTCATTGGCTCCTCCGTGGCTTGCCGAAGCTTTCGCGGAGGTTTTGAGCGATGTCAGGCACGGGCGAGTCTTTGATCTTTCGGCCCTGAACCGAATACAGCTTAACTGGGTTGTAGTTTGGGGCTCTGAAAAGTATTTATGAATAGGTACTTCTATAGGAACCATAAGGTAAATTAAACAGTTTCTAAAATTGCCACCGAGTTAACTGAATGCGGTTGTCAACTATTCCGACCCCCAACGTGCAGCTTTGCGCAACAAAGCCTGTCGTTGGGTTAGATTAGAGGGCTTGGAGTGGAGAGGTTTGGGAGTTGGGAGAAGCGGGACCAAAGATATCAACGCCTAACTGCGCCGAAAGCAAAAACCTTCGAGGCAGAGTCACCCATATACTGGGTTGTTGTCTTCGGGGCTGTCTTTACTCACAACCTCTTAGACTCTTTACTTGCAAACTCTTTGAGAAAACCCTAATCAATCAGTATGCCATGGTTGAGGGCCATTCAAAATCTCTTCAACCCTGAACCCCCACCTACCGATCCAACGAGAAGAACGAAACGACAGATGAAGCCTAAACCACGAAACCCTGGACTCTTAAAGCCTAAACCCTGATGCTCTAAACCCTAAACACCTAAAAGCCCTGAACTCTGAAAGTAGGCCCTAAGCTCTGCAAGCCTGATACCCTTAAATCCTAAACCCCAACCCCCTAAACCCTTAGCCTCGCATAGAAACCCGTGAAAGAAGCGCCCGTGTTCTAACTATCACCGCCAAAAACCCGAATCGGAGTTTACTAGTAGGATCCCGATTATAAGGACCCAAAACAAGGCACCCCCTAATTTTCGGAAACTCCCAAGCCCTAAACCCTATAGATCCCTTATAGGAACCCTTTAAAAGGAACCCTTATAGATCCTTTCAAGGGAGCCCCTAAATTTCGGAAACTCCAAACCCTAAACCCTTTATAGAACTCCTATAGATCCCTTTAAGGATCCCTTTAAAGGAGCCCCCCAATTTTCCGAAGCTCCCAAATATGAAGCGCGCCGAACAGCGGTGCCTTGGCCTTCGCCGGGTCCGAAGGGAGGAAATTCTTGCCCAAAGCATAGTCGCCTGGGGGAGTCCGGAGTTGACTTTGGAGAATTTAGGGTTTAGGGTTTAGGGAGTTTAAGCATTTGGTTAAGGGTTCCTTTAAGGGCCCCTTTAAAGGGATCTCTAGGGATTCTATAAGGGCATAGGGTTTAGGGTCTACTTGGAGGCTCATGAGGTTTTATAACCAGGGTGACTATGGTTATAACCCCGATTAGGGGACTTATAACCCGGTTGAAAACTCCCTAAACCCTAAACCCTAAACCCTAAACTCTAAACCCAAACCCTCCATGAACCTCCGAGCAGGGTTTAGTGGGTCTTAGTAGGGCTCCGGGCCTGGAGAGTCGGGAGTCCAGGAGGCTGCTCGGGTGTGGTTTCAGGGTGCTTAGGCTTAGGTTCTAGTGTTTAGGGTTTAGGGTTTAGGGCTTAGGGTTTAGGGTTTAGGGTTTAGGGTTTAGAGTTCAGCAGCTCCGGATCGAGCAGTTTTAAAGTAGAGTTGTGTTTACGGTTTAGAAATAACACCCACCCACCCTAAAAATCCCATAACATCAGGGAAATACAAAGTTTCACTTCTTTCACAGCTTGCAACCTTAAACCCTGAACCCTTAAACCCTAAACCCTTAAACTCTGAACGCTTAAACCCTGAACTTTGAAACCTCGAGAATTGGGCCTATCCCACGAATTCCATTGAGCTTGGTCTGGAAGTTTGGGCCTATCCCACGAATTCCATTAAAGTTGGTCTGGAATTGGATAAGGCCCAAACTTTCGTGGGATAAGGCCCAAGTCTTGACCAACCTTAATGGTTTTCGTGGGATAAGGCCCAAACTTTCGTGGGATAAGGCCCAAGTCTTGACCAACCTTAATGGAATTCGTGGGATAAGGCCCAAACTCCGGACTTGGGCCTTACCCCACGAATTCCATTAAGGTTGGTCCGCAGTTTGGGCCTTATCCCACGAATTCCATTAAGGTTGGTCTGAAATTGGGCCTTATCCCACGAAATCCATTAAGGTTGGTCAAGACTTGGGCCTTATCCCACGAAATCCATTAAGGTTGGTCCGGAAGCCTGGGCCTTATCCCACCAAAACCATTAAGGTTTAAATTACTATATGATAAAGAGGTTTAGGCCTTTTTAGGGCTTTAGGCTTGATGGGTTTTAGGGTTCGGAGTTTTTGAGGATGTTGACTGAGGGTTTCAAGGTTTTGTAAGGCTTAGGGTTAGGGCTCTACAGGTTACTAGTATGAAGGATTAGGGTTCCTTTCGGGGCTTTATTCGGCTTCTTGAGGCTTATTTCAGCTGTCTTGGGTTTTGCGCCGAATTGTTGGTCACAGCTTGGGGTTAGGAGGAGGTGGCTTTGGGAAGCTGAAGTCTGACATAGCCTGTGCTTAACCCTGAACCCTGAAACCCCTAAAAACCCTGAACTAAACAACCCCTCCCCAGCGCACGCGGTCTGACGCCGAGCTCTTGAAGGTATATGGGGCCCAACAGACACAAACTCCCCGAAAGCTCTAGACTGTAGACGTGACCTTCGAACCTGGCGTTCTGCCTTGACCCTGAATGATAGTTACCCGTATTGAGCTGAAAGCAAGGATCCTAGAACAAGAGATAGGCCACGCAAAAACTGACAACATTCGAAGGCGAGGCTTGGAACTCCAGAGAAGACTTGGAGAGAACTACCCTAAACCACAGGATCCTCTGGGCTTCTACCCACCACAAGTCCTTCGTGTGGCGAGGAGGAACGCATCACCACGGGGGCGTTGGCCGTGAGGATCTTGCCACCCAAGCCCTCCCAGCTCAGCAAGCCTTTGGCGAAGGCGTCAGAGACAAGGGGCCCACAGCCAAGTTCCACAGACATGAGAACGAAGGTCTCCGAGCCCAGGCCCCGGAGATGCTTGGTGCGCTGCAGCTTCTGCTGGTCGCTCTCAAGATCACTCGGCTCGCACCAAGCTTTCGCAATTTCAGGTGCTGCGCAGCCTGGAATACGCTGCTGTAAGAACTGAAAGTAAATTCTACACCTATACACGGCTCTTCGTGCTTATTATGACTAATAGAACCCTCATAGAAGCCATAGAACCCTGGTATAAAGCCCTTACAGGCCTCGAAGAATATTTTAGGATCCGCATGAACACCTAGAAACCCACGACACCCCACGACGAAACCCTGATAACCCACATAGAATCACAAAGGTTCGGAAAGGCACCAATAACAGAGGCCCCGACCCGCGTTCTCGAGCGTGAGGCCAGGCTTGTTGGAGACGTTGCAGGTCTGAGGGAATGTTGTTGCATTCTTGCAAAGCTTTACTTTACATCTCGGGTGTGATTCTGTAGGTGTCCTTGTAAAGAGGATACAGCGTAAGGGATTAGGGCGCCTGGGCAGGTGAAATGCCTTTGCAAGAAAAAAGCTCATGCCATGAGCTACCCTAAACCCCAACCCGAAGCCCAGAACCCAAACTCTAACCCTGAACCCTAAACCCTAAACCCGGAAAAGGCACACGAAGGCCAAGGCTGCGCAGCAGCAGTCGTCGCGCTCACTGTAAAGACTTGACACTGCAGACTGCGGAAAGGATTTCTGGACTCAATCATTCATACATACATACGTACATACATCCATGCATGCATGCATGCATGCGTGGATGCACGCACGTTACGCACGCATGCACATGCACGCAGATAGACAGACGGACAGACAGACAGACGGACAGACAGATAACTACGCATGCGCACGCGCGCACACGTGCACACGCGCACGCCCGCGCACACGCACACGCTCACGCACACGCACACGCAAACGCGCGCACATGTACATGCACTGCGGACAGCGGCACGTAAAGACAGAGACGGGGAGAGAAAGAGTGTGAGCGACAGAGCGATAGCGCCTAAGAAAGCGAGAGGGTGAGACAGCGTGGCAGAGCGCGTGAGAGGGCATGAGAAAGGCAAATTGCGAGAGGCTTGGAACGAGGGGTAGAGCGGCAGAGCGAGGGGGAAGGCCCCTGCCAAGATGGTTTCCTTCATCAAACTTGACACCTCCGTTCCGAAAGAAAGCGCCTGACACTTCGCACTTCTCAGAATCCTTCACATCGACCTTTGATGACTACCCCCGCCCCCGCCCTCCGCTTTTCAACGACGCAATAGTCGCATTAATGGCACCCCCAATATGTTTGGAAAGCCATCTTCCGGGGGCCTGATACTTGAATCGTAAATCAAAGCTTCCGGGCCCGAACTAGGATCAGCATTACGGTACTCCAGTCCCGAAAGACTCGGAGGATGGAGAACTGTCACAACATCCAAGGCCTACGGGGTTGTGCCAAGACTTTATGGGGTGCCATTAGGGCTCTAGTTTGGCCCTTGAAAGCCCTGGAACATGGTTTGTAAAGGCCCAATCAGGGGAAGAACTGAAAATGTCCGAAAGGCCTACCTAGTACATATACAATAATATACCGTGATGTACCATAACATACCACTATAAACAATAATGCACTGTAAGATACTATCATATACTTGTATATACAATCATATACTGTGTTATTAGCGTCCTGATGAGGACCAGGGAGCCTTGGCGAAGGTAGTCAGCATCTCAACAACGCCGGCAAAGGCGTAGACCTGCACAGATAATGTGCACAACAATCGCTATCTATCTATTTGTATATACATATATATATATATATATATATATATATATATATATATATTATATATATATATATATATACATACATACATACATGTATTGATGTGTACACATACTGTAAATGACTCTTCGAGGGATCGGTTTAGCACAGCCTCTTGAAGCTTCAACCCGAATTAAAATATTTCAACTGACTATGAGGACTGTAAGATATTTCTGAACGTAAACTCTGAACCTTGAGCCCCACGGTTGATGATATAAATCCTGCATTACGTTAAGGACCCTAAACTATGGGAATTATGGTATATTCCTTATTATGGGTTCTTCACCCCTAAACCCTAAACCTGCAACTCCGAACCCGAAACCTAAAACCTTTCATCCGCACCTGGAAGAGAGGGCCCTGCTGTCTCTCGGTGCCGAAGAAATCCTGTGAGGACTGCCCCTTAGAGCCCTCGGGCGCTACGGTTTTGGGGGTTTGGCTTTAAGGCCTTGGGTTTGGGGTTTTAAGGTTTTGGGTTTATGGCTTAGAGTTTCTAGTATGTGTAGGGCTTGGGTCTTAGGGCCTTAGGGTAGCTATGAAGGATTGGCCAATACCTGCATTAAGCAAGAGACTTTAGCCAGGTATGCCAGCGATAGGGGCTTCTATAAGGGCTGCTATTCGGCTTGCTAGGAAGGTGTCGCATATCAGGTTACGGTGCACAAAATGGTTTGCAGAAATTATCATGGGGCTACAAGGAACGCGGTCGGGGTGACGATAGGGTAGGTTACTCTACGAGCCCTATAAAGGTTCCAGGGTCTCATACTTACGGTTTCGGTGTGCTGTAGGGCTCAACTGCCTGACAGGTTTCAAGTATAGTTGTGAGGCCGCAAGGATTCGGGGCTTAAATACGCCATACACAGAGCTTGGGCTTCGGTGTTCAGGGTTTAGCGGTTCAGCGCGTTCTTGGGGGAGTCGGGCTCAGCTTCGATAGCATGGGCTGTACTCACAAGGACCCCAGATCCTACTAACCCCTACTAAGTCGCCCTTGTCCTCTGCGTTCACCAGGAACGGGAAGGGTGGGTTGCCCACGCAGGCGTTGTGGGCATCCACGACGGTCTTGGCTGCGTAGCATGCATCTGGGCCTCGCGTGCTGCGAGACGAAGCATGCTGCAGGAACCATGGGTTTAGGGTTTGGGGTTTAGGGGCTCAGGGTTTTTTTAAGTGTAATGCACCGCCCCTTTGACTCCAAAAGGCCGTCGGCACTGCTCGTATCGAGCTTATACACTACTAGTAGGTACCTGTCAGCCAGATTTTAGGGCTTGTCCGTGGAAGTAGCAAAGCTCTTCATCATGACACCAAGCCCTCGTCACCATCAACACGGACATGATGCCATCCATTGTCAACACGACCACACCACAAAACGTCAGTATCAGGGTGGCCCCTGCCACTACGAGCACCACCATTATCAATACCCTCATGTTCATCTTCTTCTTCAACTTGAAACCACCTTGAGGTTTCGGATTTATTTCATTACCACCATCACCACCATCATCAGCAGGGTGACAATCATCAATACCACCGCGCACATCAGCATGCGAATCATCAGCAGTACCAAGATCCCCATCACATCCCATCATCATCATCACCCTCACCATAACCATCACCATCGTCGTGCTTGCACGCAGACGCTAAAGCCGAAACCCAAAGTTTCCAATCGTTGGTAGCGACTAGTGTAGGAACCTGATTCAGAAACCTTGGTATTGGGGCTCCTTCTATGAATCCTACTATTTTGGGGTTGCAGGCCCAGGGTGTCTTAATCAGGTTCCTACATTAGTAGCAATTTATTGCTTCCGGTGGTTTCTTGCCCGAAACCCACCCGGGAAGGGCCTGGGACGCGAACGAACTCCGGCACCACGAGGCCAACGAAGGCCAGCATCGCGATCCTACCGTGCTTCCTCGGATAGCTTAGGGACTTGGGATTCCCGAAACTATGTTTTAGGGTTTAAGGTTTGGGCTTTAGGGTTTATGGTCTAAAGGCTTAGACACCCCAATCTTCAGATTCAGGCTTGTTGCTTGGAGAATCGCCAGCTAATGGGCCGGTCAAACAAAAGAGCAAGTGCTGAATCTTGAATTTACCGCCAAACTATAAACAATCCTAAAGGCTTATGGTTGAGACAATTGTAGCCCGGTAAAACAGCAAGGGCCGACACAGGCAAGGTATCGAGCAAGCAGAAAGACGAACCCCGACGGGTCACAGTAGTTGCCCCAAAAGAAAACCCTGAACCTGGCTCTAAGGTTTACACTAGGGTTTGGCGATTCTGGAGTTGCAGATGTCAGAACCATAACCTGGTTGTGGGGATCGCCACATCACAGAGCTTTTAGAACAGATAGTCTGCGACATCTAGATGCAGGAACTGCACATTGCAGGAGCAGCACATGGCAGCACTCATGCCAAGAATCCAACATGCGCCCTAAACCTGACCCTAAACCCCACTGAGAGCCTCTAGAGCCCCACACCCGAGAGCCTGTAAACCCCCAAACGCCACAGCAACCAAAAACCCTAAACCCCCTTAACCCGAAGCCCAAATCCCTAAACGGCCTTAAACTCTACGACTCTCGAAAGCCAAAGCCGAAAGCAATCCTAAAAGATTCTAGCCAGGGTGCAGCTCCGCCTGTGCAAATTTGGGCTCAGAGTTTAGGGTTTAGAAAGTAGGGTTTAGGGTTCAGGGTTACGGGTTAGGGTTTAGGAGTTTAGGGTCTAGGGTTTAGGGTTTAAGCTTAGGGTTTAGGCTGCACTGTTCAAGGATCAGAGTTGAAGGTCTTGTGGTTGAAGGCTCAGGGCTTGGGATTTTGGATGTAGGGGAGGGTGCTTGGGTCCTGTTGCGGTTTACGGTCCCGGGATGTCTGTTAGAGGCTAGGATACCCAGTAACCTAAGAATAACAAGGCCTCTCTTTTTGGTATTGGGTAACTTTATAAGGAACCTAGGACTACAAAAAAGGGAATAAGGGTACTACTGGGCATCCTAGGAGGCCTGAGGTTAAGACCTCGTTCCAGGCTTCAGGATGCTGGAAGGTGCTGGGATCCGTTTAGAGCTTTGGGCTTGGGGGTAGTCGTTCCTTGCAAGGTTTAGGATTTTTGGGGTCCGTCTTTCGAGGTTTAGGGTTCCGTCTCAGGCATAGGGTTTTCTTTCCAGGATTCTCGGGTCAAGGGTGCTAGGGCCCTAATTCGGGATTTGAGGTTTAGCGCTGTTTTCTAAGGTTTCAGGTTTTGGGTTCCGCTGTGTGTTAGGTTGAGGAGCGGTGCGGGTGTCGCGTGGGTCTTGGATTGGGCTTAAGGGGTAGTGAGCTTGCAGCGCACGAAACCAAGGAGGCTTTGGGATTGGGAACCGGAAGCCTGAACCCTAAAGGGCCGAAACTCCTTCTAAACCCCAATCCCAAAAACCTAAATTAACCCCACATCTGGATTACTTTCTGAAGGCTCCAAAACAAGGGCCTTAACCAGCAGCAGAGGGTTTCTTAAAGTTTAGGGGCACACTGCGGCATGCTACACATCCTTGTATTGGAGTAAGGAACCTTCAGGGATAGTCTTACTCATATAATATGGACCCCTTACAGGAACCCTTATAATATAATATGCACCCATTAAAGGAACCCTTACACTAATTTAGGCCCACGGTTTAGGAGTTTAGGGTTTGGGGGAATTTAGTTACTAAAACGATTAGTATGATAATTACTATGATTATTGATACTGTAATTACTACTATTCTTTAGGCTTCCACCTTGGATCCGAGATGATCCAAGGTCAAAAGTGTCCGTGACCCCCTGCAGCTCCCGTCGGTCTCTGCCTCCCGGAACCAGGGCAGGTACCTTCGCAAAGGGCGGCGGAGGTTTCAGAGAGGGTCAGGGCTTACTCTAGACTCTAGAGGCCGAAGTAGTTAGAATAGGGTCTTGCGCTATCTTGCCTTTGGTTAGTAGGGACTGGAAGAATGGTAGTAATAGTAGTTATAATTGTACCCCATTCCTCCATTCCCTACTAACCAAAAGTAAGCTATACCAAAATATACGTATATTAAAAACCCTAATGAATGGAGTTGGCAACTATTCAGTCTCCCACACTCAGCTCTTATTTGGATGATAGATCCTGCTCCTTTCCTAGCGAGGCCTCGGTGGGCATATTGTGAAACAGGGCAATCAAGATTTGGGGCTGACGGCTTAGAGGTTGAATTAGGGGTTTAAGGTTTAGGGACTGAGGGTTCAGGGTTTATGCTTTAGGATGGCTTTAGGGTATACGGCTCAGGATTAAAGTTTGTCGTTCCATAATCCCGCAACTACGGACATGTCCTTAGATGATACTACGTAGGGATCCTGAACAGAAACCTGAAATGAGTGAAGCCGAAGGTCGAAGACATCTTGTTTGTAGGCTGTTGGGGTTGTAAGTCCCCCAAGTGGTGTAATCCTGAAATCAGAACCTTGCTTATAAGCTTACCAATGTATAGGTGTGGAATTAATTTCAGCCCCAAACTCGAGAAGCCTGGGATCTCTCGCGGTGGGAAGAATCGGCAATACATCCTACAGCCTCGGTGTTCATTTTACTGCCATGCAACCGAAACCTTTGATTTTCCCACAAAACCTTGTACTGCCGCTTAAACAACCTCCCGCAAACCTAAACCGGAAACCCTAAATCCTAAACCCTAAACCCTAAACCCTAAATCCTAAACCCTAAATCCTAAACCCTATAAACTTAACCTTTAAAACGCATCCGGGAAAAGAGTCGGTTCTGAGTCCCTGGCTTCTCGCACTTCACGGAGAGGCCCAGTGGGTCGAAGTTGAACTCCTCTCAAAAAAACAAAGGGTTCCTGTATTCATGTGGGTGGTTGTCAAATTTGGGCCCCTTGCTGGGTCCCTCTTTTAATACGGCGCCTAATATCTAGGGTACCCAGACAGCCATGTAGGGCTTAGGGTTTCGGAAGATTCAGAGAGCAGTTGGGGCAGTGCTGGGTTTAGGGCCCATAAGAGCTTGCTTAAGGGTTCCTGTAAGGGTTCCTTAAAAAGGCTCCAAAATAAGAGGAATCCTGGCGAGAACGTTGCGGGGGCTCCTGTACTAACATGCGGAAACGAGCCCCGGGATCCTGCGGTTGCCATGGCCCCTGCAATCGACCCCTTTTTCAAGGGGTTTAGGGTTCGTTGAGGGTTTAGGAGTTTAGGATTCAGAGCTTAGGGTATAGGGCTTGGGTTTTGGCTTCAGGTTCAAGGTTTAAGGATCTCCTCGTTGGACAGAAAAAGCTTGGGGCGTGGGGATTAACTGGACCCGATAGCGCCCTTAACGCGCGACTTCGAAAAATCCCCGCTTCCCCTTAACTCCCTAACGCCCTAACGCCCTAAACCCCACCACCCCAGGAGCCCCCCCACGACCCGAAATCCCATCCCCGCCTGCCCGGCAAAGGCGGACTCCCCGCCGATGAGGCCTCCGGCGAAAGGCTTCTCATTTGTGGCCCCTGTAGCCTCGAGCGAGGTGCAGAAACGGATTTGGGGTTCAGGGGTTTTGGGCCTAGTCTAGGTCCTGCGATGGCAGGGTTTGGGATTTAGTGCTTAGAGCTCAGGTCTTGCATTAGTAGGGAATGGAGGAATTGATCACTATAGCAGTCCCTTTATATTCCCCAGTAACAGTCCCAAATATCAATTCCCCGATTCCCTACTAAGCACCAGGGAGTTTAGGGCTTACGGCCTCGCTGTTGCAAGGTCCGAAGTTCGGTCAAACATGCAGGACTCAGGGTTGAAGGGTTGGGGATGTTTGTGTTAGAAAGGGGCCTTAATAAGTAGAATAGGGTTTGGGGGGGCCTATTTTTCTATAATTGTTTAAAGAGCCCCAAAACAACGTTCGTAAATTTTAGGCCCCTTTGTTGGGGCTGTTGGGCTTCAAGGCTTAGGGAGCAGGCCATCGCGTTGATAAGGAAGCCACAGACTTCTGAATCTGGGAATTATGGAATACACCCTTATTATGTTGGCGATGCTTGTGTAATGCAAGGCATCTGCCCCCTAAACCCATAACCTAAAACCTTTTAACTGGGTTTTGAAGTAACCAAGGAGAAAAAGTATAGACTTTTGTTTCATAATGCTTCATTTCAGGAACAGGCACCAAAAAAATATTCAAGTATGGTACTCCACACCAAGGTTAAAGAAGGTGTTTCCTGTCTGTGCACGGCTAGCATGAACTGGCCGGCCGGCGGCTGCAACACAGGAGCCCGAAACCCAAACCTCCGGGACACCTTTGGTGTGGGGCTGACCTTGACCCCAAAGAACCTACCTCTTTAAGGACGTATAGAAAGAAATCATATTAGGGAACCCTAAAAGTGAAGGTTCCTTCGGGTCCAGGGAGGCGTTTGTAGTTTAAAACCTACGACCACCTGCCAAGCCCAAATCTGCTCAAACACTAAACCCCAAACATCACCAAACCTCAAACCAACCCCAGACGCCAAAGGACTTAGAAAACCATGCGAGTGAAACATAATGGTAAAAAATGTATTACATACATGTACTAATATGCATGAGGAACCTTTGTGTGTAATGTGCCGTTCCTGTCTGGGGTAGGTATACTCCAGGAACACAGAGGACAGAGGGTTGTGATAGTTTGGGCCCGCCGCCGCTGCCGCCCCCAAACTATCTAGACCTCTGTGTTGTGCTTACCGAGGGCATACCAGGAACGCACAATATACGCAAAGGTTCCTCATATGAAGATATATATATATATATATATATATATTTATATATTTTTTTGAAATTGGGTATATCATACGTTATGTATTACCAAAAAATATATACATACATATATATATATATATATACATATGCTACCCCCCTAAAGCCCGCAGAATGGACAAAAGAATCATAAATCATTGATTACATGCCCCGCCTCGATGTTGAGACATGACGCTTCTGAGGCTTGAACCGGCTCGTCTCTTCTGTGAAACACGCACGCACACACACACACACACACACACACACACACACACACACACACACACACGCACACACGCATACATAACCGAAGAGATCGCAGCGAGACACAAATTCCGTCAGATCTCATACGTGTAGCTCCGAGAGCTCTTGCACGGAAACATAGCACCGGCATGTGGATATCGTTAGATCTCATAGATCCGAGAGCTCTTGCAGGGAAACATAGCACCGGCATGTGGATATCACTGCTACATGTGACGGCGTGTAAGCGACCATGTTCATATTGCTTGGGATGTGTGCATGGCGTGTAGTATGCTTCGCTTGAGGACAAGCAGAGCATCATGAGCAGATACAGCACAGTCAAGATGCTTCGAATTCATGAGGCACGCGTATACTGCAATCTGCCAGGCGATGACTAACTAACTTCTATGATTTACAAAAAGGAGAAGAGCTTCGCAAAAAAAAGCAACACATCCGAGCTGCGGCCAGTTGCCCATCGAGATCCGCAAACGTGAAGTCCATGGCCTCCCAATCAAAAGAAACTGCGCTCAAACACAAAGCAAAACCTTGCGCGCAAACACACAACACTAGCCACCAGCCCACCCCCATCCCCCCCCCTGCCACTACCACCGACCCTCCCCCAAGACTGAGCCGCCGACATTGCTGACCGGCGAAGGGAATGGCGCCGGAATCAGCTCGGGCAGGAGTGAATTGGAGAGGTACCCGCAGCCTAAGTCACCGAGGGAAAGGAAACGAGAAGCAAAGATCCGAACCGCGGAGACAGAAGGAGAGAGAGAAGGTGAGACAAAGAAAAGAACAACCGCCAGAACCGAAGTCAGGTTGCCACGTGTTCGTCGAGGTCCTAAGTCAATATTACCGGCAGCACGGAAGGCAAACATAAAAAGAGAGAGAGAGAGAGAGGAAACACCAAAGACAAGGCACTTCCAATGGCGCCGGAATCAGCTCAGGCAGAGGTGAATTGGGGTTGTGCTCGGCAAGCTCCTCGAGGGAAAAGATCCCTGCCGCCACAGCCTGAGAAGCAAACATCCGAACCGCGGAAAGAGAAGGAGAGACAGAAGGTGAGACAAAGAAAAGAACAACCGCCAAAACCAAAGTCAGGTTGCCACGTGTTCCTCGAGGTCCTAAAGCAAATATTACCGGCAGCACAGAAGGCAAAGATAAAAAGAGAGAGAGAGAGAGGAAACACCAAAGCCAAGGCACTGCCGGCAATGGCAACGACGCGGGAGCCGTTGCCACGTCCGCAACGTGCTGGCAGCAGATAAGAAGAGAAAGAAAGAGAGAGAGAGAGAGAGAGAGAGAGAGAGAGAAAGAAAGAGAGAGAGAAAGAAAGAGAGAGAGAAAGAAAGAGAGAGAGAAAGAAAGAGAGAAAGAGAGAGAGAGAGAGAGAGAGAGAAAGAGAGAGAGAAAGAAAGAGAGAGAGAGAGAGAGAGAGAGAAAGACGGGAAACACCAAAGCCAAGGCACTTCCGGCAATGGCGGGGTGACAGGAGCTTCCTAAATGCAGCTCCACAACCACAGCAAGACGAAACAAACTGCAAAAAAGCCGACCACGCACTATAGAACTAACAAGGCCAAGTAGCCTCTCCTCGAACCCTGGCCTGAGTTCCACCATGAGAAAAAAAAAAGTGAAACGGAAGACAGCACAGAAGCACAAAAGCAGTCAAAGCCAAGTGGCGCTTTCCGGTGGGGGGGTGCCCTTCGGCACGGCCTAAAAACACGAAAGCCAACAAGCACGAGAACCCCAGACAGCCCTACAAAAAAGTAAGACACCGCCGAAACAACCCCACAACAAACCGACCAGAACGAACACCCCAAGCAACCCTCCAGTAAACCCCTATCATCCAAGAAGAATCCAAGAAGCAGAGGCCACCAAGATGATCGCCAAGCAGATAGTGCGCATAATCCTCCGGGACGGCCGAGACAAAATAAGATACCGTAAAAGATAGAAAGAGGAGAGCACGGAGAAGAGAGAGGGATAGGAAAACGTAAAACGCCTGCAAGGCGATGCGACAAAGAAGGAACGCGCGAGGTCAATGCTTGAGCCAGAAAGCTTCAAAAGGGACATAAAACCCCAACCCGAAACCACCAAAGCAAACCTTGAACGACCTCCTGAAGCAACCCCGAGACAAAACCCTAAACGAAAACGCAGCAAGCAAAACATAACAACACCCCAAACTGAAACAGTGGACCCACCAACAAACAAAAATCCGCAAAGCCACTCAACCCAGCAAAGCAAGCACAGAATGTGGCCCGGACAGGTGCGGAGAAGAAGCGCACGCCGGAGGCCTTCGAACCAGCACCTGAGACAAAAAGGAAACACGGACGCTCCGATGCAGAGCAACCTAAACAACCCGAAAGAAAACGTCGAGGACGGAGCCTAAACTTTAGATGGAATAAGAGTTGAAAGTTTAAGGGTTGCAATAAAGAGCGATCGCGGGCTGAGATCGAATTCTCCAGGACTCAAACAATATCAACGAATTGGAGGCACGGCAGGGCGGAGCAGGGGACAGGGAAAGGCAACGCGGTGCAGGGCAAAGCCGCCAAAGCATGCGGCATGACCTCCCAATAGGAAATTCCCAAACCAGACACTGAACTAACCCCTTAAGGAACACCAACACTGAACGGTGGAAAAAAAAGCAACAACCCAAGCCAAAAACACCTGGGACCGGAAACACAACCCGATAAAAACAAAAATGGAAACCCACCAACAACAGAAAACACCAATGCCCTGCAGCAGCGACCCCGACTCCTGCAAATCCTACCTGCAGTCCAGGGAAAGGCTACCCTGCGCCTCACTCTGCACTCCAGCTCAAATGCACCACCACAATCTGGACCTGAACGGAACACGCGGAGGATGTGAAGCAAAGATAGAAGCATAGTGGAAGGACACAGCTGCCTGGCAACCTCACAACACCAAGCGGCCTCCTCAAAGGCAATGCAGCCCAAGAACCCCGAGCTGACGCGACAAACGCGCAGACCTGTGCGTGGCAAGAAGTGCTCTATCTCCTAATACTACCCGCCACCGTGTTTACCGTACCCCTAAATATTGAAAAACGCAGCTGCCGCTGTGGTGGCGTGCTTCTTTCAGTGTATTTTGGAAGTACGCAAATGACAAGGCTGTTTTGCGTTTTGTGCGGGAGGCGTTGCTCGAAAAGGTTCACGTGCGTGTGTTGTGACAACGTGTCTTGCTCCACATCCTTGCGCAGCATGTTGTACCAAGAGCCCAAAATGCTGTAAATACCAGCGTTTTGGGCATGATCGCCAAAGGCAGTGACATGAACATCAACCTGACCATCTTCATCATCATCTTCATAACCATCATCCTCGCCATGCTCAACATCATCGTTTACCTGATCATCTTCATCATCATCCTCATAGTCATCATCCCTATCATC